TATAAAATATACTATACTAAAGAAATTATTAAATAGTCTTTTTAAGACTTTTAAGCTATTTATATAGTCTTAGTATATTAAAGTAGAAAATAATTTAGAATTAATTTAAAATTAATTTTAAAATAATTTAGAAATAATTTAAAAATAATTTAAAAATAATATAAAACTAGTTTTAATATAAATCTAAAAGAATTATAGTATAAAGTTTAATTTATATATTAAGGTAGAAGGAATTTTTTCTATATAACTTTATACTTTTAAAAAATCTAAAAATTAGAAAATTAGAAAATTATAGTAGCAGCATTTGCAGATGCGAGCTAATGTGCGACTGTACACTTGTCATCTCGCCAGGTCGACATGGCACACAATGGCAGAGCAGAGACTGCGCTCCTAGTAGTTCCTGTGGTAATATTGGACAAAACAGTAGGGGTACATTATAACTGTACTCTAAATCAAGTTCTATGGTACGGATGGGCTACGAGGACTCCGCACAAAGGGATGACGGGCACGACAACGGTGACATGGGAGAATGACATCAAGAGACCCAAGTGTCGCGTCCTAATTTCGATCCATTTGGTGCGCTGAAAAACGCTGCTGGCTGCCTGGCGCCCTCGCGTTCAGCGTCCGTCGAATCCGCTCGCTGGGCAGCCACCGCTCTGCGGGAATCAGCCACCACGAAAGCACGGCAAACATGGTCACCACGGCCATGATGACGGGCGCATAGTTGAACGTCGCCGCCGAAACAGGAAAGGCATACGGCGAGTAAAGCACAGCCACCACCCACGCGTTCCATGCAACAGAAACGGCCTGCAGGGGCTTGCTGAGGCGCCCTAGGCTCCAGGCGGCCTTGGGAAAGGTGTTGGGCGTGAGGAACAGGCGGCCAATGCAGATGAGTCCATACGCCGCGGCGGACGGCACTCCGGCGGCCGACACCAAGGACGTGAAGTCCACGGACGACGGCAGAATCGTGCAAGTGATGATGGACGCCACGGCCCAGACGACTATGACTGCGTTTCGTGGCTGTCCGTCAACCACCCTGGATACCCAAGGGGAGAATGGCAAGACACCGTCGCGGGCAACGGCAAAGACGAGTCGTGATGCGGCAAGGACGGCAATGGCGGTGTTCTGGAGCGTCTCGTTAGAATTGACGAACGCTCGTGACTTGATACCCTGGGCATCGCTCTCTGGGCACTGCCGTGGCTCAACTTACAAACCAAAGGGCGACTATGCAGATGACATTCATCAAGATGTGTCGCCCGTTACCCAGGATGGCCGCATACAAGGGCACGAATGGCTGTGCTCCTCCAAAGCCAAAAAATACGTCTGATGGCGGCTGTCGAGAAGCTCAGCGAACAAGTCCTACCTGGCACCTAGATTTTCACGTGTGCACTCACCACGCAGAACAGGAAAAGGATGACAACTGCAAAGCCGCCGATTCCGCTGACGACTGTGCTCCAGAAGATTCCCCGAGCTGCCGCAACGCTAGCGTTCCGAGTCTCTTCGGCAACGTGGCCAGACGCGTCGAAGCCAATCAAGACACCCGCAGTGGCTAGGTAAGACAGACACCAGTTCCAACCGGCCGGCGCTCCGGTTCCATTGTACGTGGTCATGAAAGCGTCGTGCGCAGAGCGGAAGCCGAATGTCTTGGAGGTGGCAATAGGGAGCCAGATCATGTTCAACAAAAAGTCCAGCATGACGGACGAGGTGGACAGATAGAATATCCACTTGAAATACCGAGCTGCTCTTGTCAGCACAGAAGCATCGTTGTCGCGCACAGCGTGAAACCTGCGACTGACGAGGCAAGAGGTTCCAAATGGCGGCCATGGCGAGCAGCACTTCCGTCGTGATCCACTGGACAGCTCGGAACTTGACGTTGGATGCGTCGGAGGGGAAGTCGAGGTCGAAAACTACCATTTCCTGTCTGGGCATCAACATGTGTGCTTGCGGGACGAGCCGAGCCGGCAACCTACAGAGAGCATGTAGTTGGCGGCCGCCTGAGAGTTGCCTAGAGAATTTCAGAACCGAACCGCGGCGTCCCTTCGAAGCAAGACACATGACTCGACTCGGGACGGATGAAACTCACTCGCACAAAAGGTAGTCCAGGCCGTGGTGCTCCACCACGCAACAACGAAGCCGAACACACGCCCGAAGCGTGGACCGCCAGCCTCTGCTGCCCACAGGTAGATGGAGCCGGCCAGGGGAAGCGACGAGCATACTTCGGCAATGACAGCTGCCGTCATGAAAGTAAAGACGCACGTAGCCACGAAGCTTGTCCTGGTTCGTCTGCCTCGTCAGACAACTCTTGGTCGCGAGCGCTGGTGGTCGTACCAGTAAGCGAGGTTGCCGCCGGCGGCAATGCCCGTGGCAAACGTGACTCGGACGCCGCCGACGAAATACAGGGCCGCTGAATTTGTTACTTGATTACGCTTCCTTTCATGCAGGGCGAGGGGTGAGGCCTCAAATACCAAAGGTAGTGGCAAAGTTGTGGAAAAGGTTCAACGTTCGATGCAAGACCTAGGACATTGGTAAGATGCTTGCCGCATGGCTGCCGGGTAGCAAGTCATCGTCGTACAGGTTTGTAGCCCAGACTCTCCTAGCGAGACCATTAATCGACCAGCTCAAAGAGCGTCCCGTTGCTGTTTACTCGACATACCAGTATTCGCGCGTCAGCTGTCGATTCCTGCTCAGGGTCGCACCGAGCATCGCCTGCCCCGTTCCCCTCGGCAGCCATGTCCTTTCGAGCGCTGATGGAGGGCTACAAGGAAATCGATCATCGGAATCTACGGATTTGGAGAAGAAACTAATGAGTTGAAAGGCGATATCTTGATGCTATGTTGTCAGGTATCGCAACAGTAGGGCTGATTTGAGCTGTGAAGTTGTTCGGAGTCCCAGACCAGACCAGCCATCTGAGTGAGGTAAGCCGTCCCGCACGCTTGCCCGTCACGTGCCGACTAAAAAAAAGGGCGAACAAAGCAGCAAGTGCAACCCGTAGATTATAGTTTCCTTCTTGAAAGCCGTCAAAGCAGGCCTCTCAGACAGTAAGCAATCCATGATTGGACGATAACATCAACCTCAAGGAAAAGTTGATGGGCGGGTCGAAAATGCATCGGACTAGACGCATGTTCCAGGAAGTCTGTTTTTCTCGCTTGTAGCAATATTATCATCTTGCCAGGATGCTGCCTTTCGTGCTGGACTTGGCAGCCCTTCTCGATTTCGGTTTCGCATTGATGCGTTGCCAGTTGCAGCTGGACCTGCCCCAGTGCCACCTAGCGGAATTTTAAGGCTGAATGTTTAGCATAAAAACGCAGAAAAGGTAGTCCAAAGCTAACTTACTGTAGTCTTCGTTACTGGACATTAATACAGATCTAGCTATTATAGTAGATTGCGAGGGGAGGTGTTGGTAGGATGTGGAGATGCTCTGTAAAACAATGTACAAGTTCCTTGCCGAAAACAGGAAATCCCTGGAGCAATGCGAATTGTGATGAAACGTCTTCGCTTGGCTGACATTGAGCCGCCGCGATTTGGACCAGGCCCTTCGTCTCTAGCCCGAAATTTATCCTGTGCACGCATCCTCTCGTAGTCGGGCATGGCGTACCTGGTCATCCATTCCGAGGCAGGACTTCCTTGACGGTGCGACGTTGCTCCGGCCTGTACGCCACCATCGATCTAATCATGGCAAGCAGAGCTTCCCTCTCGGCTGAATCCATCGTCTCAATCTTATATCGTGCGCACTCTTTCTGCATTTCTTCAAACTGATAGTAAGGTGTGAAGTCAGGGTGGAAACGAGACAAGATAGGCTGGGCATCCTCCGTATAGTGCTTGGAGCGCTCATCCCAATTCTTCCGCCACTCATCGGGGCAGCTTTCCAAAGACTTGAACCTGCATCGACGTCACGAAGTCGTCGGTAGGCCAAAAAACTTGGAACAAGTACTGCCAGGTGAGAGCGCCCCATTCGCTGGAGACCGACTTCGGCTTCGTTGGCTCAAACCTGGACTCTGGTGGGAGACAGTCGGCCACCGTATAACACGTAGGTCTCGTCTCTTAAGAGAGGCGGTATGACTGGCCGAAGTCAACGAGGTAAATATGGGCATCAGACAGCGAAAGCTCATGGGCTCTCGGCGCGGGGGACCAGACGGGCAGGACGGCGACAGTTGGGCAACCCGGTGGAGTCGGCTTGTTGTCAAAGGCATGTACCGGCTGTAGTGTCGGTTCTCCACAACGCAACAGCAGCTCCTCGTCAGACCAGAGATGAGATTCCTGCGGGAGTCTGAATAGGACGTTTCCCAGATAAAGGTCTAGACTCGGCCAAGTCAGAAGGGTATCGAGACAGCGCACAAGTACAAAGCATTTACCTCCGCGTACAAGTCCTTGCCATGCAGGTAGGCAACAGCCATAATTATCTGGCCGCGACAGCACGCGCAACGGGCAGTGCTAGAGGAGGGCTGCATCCGCAGTCTATTTTTTCCCTCACGCTGCACCGTGCAACGTCAGTGACGAGGCACATATGGGTGCCGTTGGGGCCGTCGACGTGAAAGGTGTCGAGGAGTCTGAGTGTCATGCCTCGGAACAAGGCGCCGTCGTCGTCGGCCTCAGACAGATTCCTTAACAGGGAAATAATCTCAGACCCGCGCCTCTGAGGAACTGGAGGGATCTGGCCGTCGACTTACGTAAGCACCCACACCATCGAGCCATCCCAATTTCCGCTTCGCCCCACCCAACTCGGGGGTCGGGTCGGGCCGCACCCGCCTAAAAAATACGGTCCGACCGCCCACATTTCAGTGCCCACGTGCCCACGGCCTCCCCGATCCCCGTCAGGGGCCAGGGGAGCCAAGGCATTCCCTTCACAATCCCCTTTCAATGTGCCACATGGGGCTCCCTCTCACCTCACAAAGAGGCACTTCCGCGTCGTCGCAGATTCGGAGTGACTCACGACGCCGCAGCCTCTTCTATGCCTTGTATGTATGGGGTCCGCTCGGGCTGATAATCAAAGACGGAGCCGCGGATGTTGATGACCAGATCTATAACAGAGCGTCTAATGCGCAAGTAAGCACTTGAGTCTGTGCGTGACTGGGGCTCGTCCTTGGAGCACTTTGGCTCGACTCGCATATAGCAAACACCCTTTGGTATCAAAGGTCTTTGGTTTTCCAACCGGTCCCCGTGGCCACAGGCTTCTCTTTATGCAGCAGCCCTTTCCCCTGGGACTTGTGACAAAGCTCTTGTTTCAACAAGGTCCGTGTGACACTTTGTCTGGAATTTGTACCCCGATATAGAAGCTTCATATCAAAAAGGCAATAGAACATGGCGGTACGGCTGCTACTTAGGGGCAAAAGATGATTACCTTGAATGGCGAATCAAAGCTCAGTACGGAGTACTGGTCTTTGCAAAGCTTGCAGTGGTTGCGTGAAGGGCAAACACACGGACAACATGGTCGCTGCTTCGGAGTTCCGGTAACCCGGCTGGCACACACGCCTTGCATCTCGGCCAGTGTTCACTCCGAGTGTGCATGTTTTGCCGGCGGAGAAAGGAGCCACGACGGGGTATAGGAGCTGGAACAATTAGGTTCGATTTAACGCCATACGTCTTAGTCCCTGATTCCCACTTACTTTGTTTAGGACGTGTTGGGCCTTGGCTACAAATACTCGAGCCTGTGCTCCGAGTAGGTAGCAAGGGAAGGGCCTTTTCTTGGCCTCAAAGCCATCGTCGTCGACACCTTCACTGAGGGGTAGATTTCTGCAGGCTGCGGCAGGGGAAAATGAAGCATGCGAGGGTTGGAGTCATCATTATGGTCCGCGCAGGCGGAGGCGCTGCTCTCCGGACATGACGATTGAAACCACCAGGGCCAGCAAGTTCACAATAGTACACCGGCTACAGCGTCGAAAGCTGTTCCTCATTGGCAGAGCGAGGAAACACCCAAGGTCGTGGGACCGTGAAGAGGACAGTAAAGACTGCCGGCGGCTTGGAACGACGCGCGCCATGTCATTGCACATCGTGGTGTTGCTGAATGCTCAGAATAGCACGGGGGCCCGTGTCTAATTTTTCTGCTGGTAGTCGGCAAAGTTCGCTCCCTTCCTCCACCTGAACCATGATGGGACGCCATGTGTGTCTGCAAGAGGGAAGTGATCTGTCCAAAATCATCTGCACCGCTGGTCTTGCACGTCTAGCCGACTCTTGGTTCCAGTCCACTGCGTGCATCTTGCCACAAAGCCGATTCTTGACCCTTGTCGTCTCGCGACTCGAACTCCAAGAGCACTGCTGTTCTTTCCTCTGCTTATTGTACTCCAATTGATTGTTTGGCTTCACTGGGGTGGGTGTGATGGCTGAGAGCAGTGGTGCAAAGCATTCACGTGCCATCACAGCACTTGAACTCTTGCAGAACGAGCCGCAGCTGATTCTGAACGCACCTCGGCCAAGGCAGCAACATGATGAAATGGGATGTCGACGTCGCGCTTCCGCCATGGCGAGTAAGTCGCCGCGTTCAGACAAGTTGGGGACTCGCGGCCGACAGTTGTCCCGTGTGTGGTGCAATTCTGACTATTAATATGACACTACCGCTCATACTTTTCTTAACCGGTACATCCAGCATTCTTTCCATCAGGCACACTTTTTCAATACAGTTCAACGATGGATCGATTAGCTGAGGTGGAAAGTGCCTTGAAAGAAGACTGGACATTTCATGAGTATGAATACAGAGGTACCCATCAGTATGTAGCCGTGCCTCCCAGGAGCCTCATTCATGGCTGCGTGGCTGCTTTTGAACTGCTGAGAACCACGAGCTAACGCCGTCTTCCAGGGTGGTGATAGTTCACGGAATTGGGGAGGATGGACAAGGCCAGAATGCCGGGAAGAGCGTGGCGTGGGTGGAAGAGTTTGTCCTCAAGCGCTACGGCGCAATCGACGTCGTCCACTTGGCAAACGGCCTTGATATCCAGTCGGGAGTTTCGTCCAAGATGCTTCGAGAGGCGGCTATGAAGCTCCTGCATAATATATCGGGACTGGGCCATGATATACCTGTACCTTTCATTCCACACCTAATCGCAAAGCACACACTTTGAACTACAACTAACGGGCACTCTACTGATAGTGCATTCTTATCGGTCATGACATTGGTGGGCTTGTGATCAAGCAAGTATGGTTCCCCCTTTTACTCCCCGACAGACAAACATGACCTTATTCGATAGCAGGCCGTCTTGATTGCCACGAGTCGCCGCCGTAAGAGACAGATTTGTGGTCTCAGAATATCCTCCTTGGTAAGCTTAGACTTCAAGTGCCAAAGTTTTCATTTCTCACCTCTCCTCGACACAGGTATTCGTCGGGACTCCTCATCGAGCTACCAAAGTTGAATCGTGGGAGACGATATCTCAAGCGCTCTTGCTGCGGAGAACAAATAAGGAGGCAGCCACGTTTTCGAAGCCATGTAGGCAGTTGGCTCAGATTCTCATGACGGTGAGCCAGAGCTTCCACGCCGTGGCCGCAGGATACCGTATTGCTAGTTTTTACGACGACGTGTCCACCGCATCATCAGCATCCGGGGTGTGTATAGTCTCTCCTCCGCTGCCTGCCCTGTCTTTGCGGAATCAGTCCATCATTCTTGGAGGAAAACTGTCTAACTCTAAAGGCGCAGGCGTTTTCCAAGGAAGCGTTGACGATGGGAGTCCCCGGTGAAATCTGCCACCGCATGGACGGCAGACCCGACGGCCCTGATGACCTCGAGCAAGACGATGAAAGGAGTGGATTCGTATATTTGATCGCCGAGATAATGTCAGACAAGAAAAGTTGGTGACCCTAACCCGCCTACTGGCAGAGCCCGTAATGTTGACCAAATCCCTTGCAGAAAAGCCATATCTATATTTTGATCTTGTCTCAAAGCTATCAACGACCATTCTCGACTGCTCTCCCGACCGTGAAGCCCAGCTCTTTGCGCCTGCTCCCGAGACGTTGCACTGGATTCTCGAACTCGATGCATACGAGAACTGGATCGGACCATCGTGTCGCCCTTTGTGGCTGCGTGGCCAGGAAAAGTCGGACATGACGGCTTCGCTGCAAATGTTGGAGAGGCAGGCGCGACAGAGATTCCCATATGCCAATATCATCAAGTACTCCTTCAACGCCAGCGACGACCGCTCTCGATCGACACACAGAATGCTTTGTTCTCTCATCTACCAACTTGTCATCCTTGAACCCGCCTTGGCTGGGCGTGTTGAGAATATCTGCCGGTATGCGATAATCAGCAGCGAGCCCTTTAGTGTTGAACATCTATGGGTGCTCTTCCGCTCGATGCTCTCCTGTCCTCACAGGGGAGCTCGTGTCACCATCTGCTTGGTCAACATGATGGACGAATGCGACCCTCGTCGCAGCCAGTTCCTCAACAGCCTCCTGTCCTTGGCCGACTCGGAAACCACACCTCGCTACTTTCGACTGGCAGTCACTTTTCGTGAGGCTCCCGATGCTAATTTCAATTTCGCCGCTGATGCCATCAACATTGACCCGAGAGTAGAAGACCAAGACCCTGACAAGACGCAGAGGGAGTTGGAATCCATGGCCGCTCGCGAGGCTTCTTCGTTGTTGCAAGCTAGACCGGAGCTCGCTGAATTTGGCGGCATCGTCTATGAGAAACTGGCAGCTGCCCGAGATGGCTTCACCGTCTCACTCACGGCAGTATTGTTGAAGGGATGCCAGTGGCCATTGACATACCCAGAACTGAGCTCTCTACCACACACTCCGTCCGAGCTATATCAACATTTTCTCCAGAGAATACCCAGTCAGCAACAAGCCTGGGCAAGCCAAGTATTGTCTTGGGTTGTCCTTGCCTTTCGGCCACTCAAACTGACGGAGCTCGCCGTCGCCTTGCTTCTTCCAAACAACGACCTCGCGTCAATCTCGGTGCAGCAGAGGGTGAGGCTCTTGAATCTCGAATCTGAGCTCCGTCGGGTATTTGGGAACTTGATCCAGATCCAAGATGGCACTGTCTTGCCGGTACACAGCAGCCTTCGGGAATACCTTGTCCAAGGTCGAACGGGCCACCCGGACAGGCCTTCGCCACTCCTCTCCCATGGGCATCATGTACTGGCGGAGTCGTGTATCCAGTACTTTGGGCTCGTGACGGTGCAAAAACAGCAAGCAGGTCCCGAGAAGGAACTCGACGTTGGAGACGACTCAGACGATGTCGACGGGCCTCCAAGGGGACACGGGTACGACTTTCATGGGTATGCCGCCCAGTATTGGTCCAAGCACTACAACTCGGTGGAACGGGAAGACTTTCCAAAGCTTCGCAAATTGGCATTGGAGCTGCTGGAGCTGCAACCAGACCCGGCTGCCTCGACTGATGAGGCGCTGTCGTTGATGCCGCCGTCACGCGTCTGGATAGATTCGGCCTGGCGCTCCAAGGAGCCGCTTTCTGTCGCTGCCGCACATGGGTGTCATGACATTGTTGGTGCAATGGTCGACGAGGCGAGCCTGAGCAGCGCGGCCTGCTCTTGGGCGCTGGGCCCTGCCATGATGAATAGAGACGAGAAAATGGTCAATTACCTCCGGGCAGCTGGCGCCCGGCATCACGAGGCTCTGCTCCAGGCTGCCCGGCATGGCTTGGACTCGGTGGTGCGCCAGCTTTTGAAAGAAGGGGCTCAGTTCGTCACGAACGAGGGCGATCCGCCATTGCACGAGGCGTCTGAGTCTGGGTATGCTGGAGTGGTGAGACAACTGATTGATGCGCATTTCAATCCAAACGCCAGGGCATACAAAAGCATGCCTCTTCATCTCGCCAGTCAGTTTGGCCACGTTGACGTGGTGGAGGTGCTTCTAGACGAAAAAACAAAAGCCGTCAACGCCGTCAAGATTGAAGCACTGGATCGTGACGGCCTAACTCCTCTGCTTGTGGCCACTACATGCCAGCATGCCAGCACAGTCAAGAAACTTCTCGAATTGGGTGCCGACATTGACGCGATAGGCGAGGGGACCAAGACTTCAGCCTTGCACATTGCCGCCGAGCTCGACAGGGAAGACATTGTGGACATATTGTTGACTCACTACGAGGCACTTGGGAATAAGGTCGGTAACTTGGAGGCTCTCCGAACCGCCATCAAGAGACAAGACAAGCGCCTGTACACGCCGCTGCACTCGGCCGCAGCCAAAGGCAGTGTGGAAGTAGTAAAGAAACTTGTTGGCAAGCTGCGAGTCAGTCAACTGAACGAGGAGGCACTGTTCATGATGCGGAGTAAGGACGGAGATACGCCCCTTCATCTTGCGGCCCATGGTGGCCATGGCCATGTGATAGACGCTCTTCTTGAATGGCAAAGGGACACGACAAGGGCGAGCCCAGGACTCTGTGACAAGCCCAACATTGGCATCGCCAATGAAGCTTCCCGACTTCCCATCCACTTTGGCGTCCTCTGTCGCGATGCATCCATCGTCGCTCGGCTTTGTTTCGAGCATCAAAAACACCAGGTCCCTGTCAACTTGACAGATGCCGATGGACAGAGCCCCCTTCATCTCGCATGTCACGACGGCCTAGCCGACATCGTCGACATCCTCCTGAAGCATCAAGGCTGGACTGACGAAGCGAACAGAGACGGCGCCACGCCTCTTCTTCTTGCGTGCGACCTCGGGCACCTGGGAATTGTCAGCAAGCTCCTGAGCCACGGCTCGAGCCTAGAGGTGGCCGACTCGCGAGGTCGCCGCGCCTTACACAGGGCCGCAGTCGCAGGGCACCCCGGGTTAATTGAGAAAATTGTCCACGCCTCGCCCAGGCCCGTCGTCAGCCATGTGAACTTGAGAGACAACCGCGGAAGAACACCACTTTACCTGGCGGCAGGCTGGGTAAATCGCCAAGCAACGAAAACGCTCCTGGATGAGGGGGCGGACGTCAGGCAAGTAGATAACGAGGGCCGAAGTGCGTTGTTTGCCGCGTGCATGAGTGGCCGTGCCGACGTCGTGGCCATTCTGCTCCGGAAGATTAGGGACGATATCAAGGACGTGGAGGGGCACGAATCTGCTACACGCCCAGGCCTTCTCGAATGCTTCTATGCCCTGCTATCACGGATGCCGCGACGCTGGGCTGTCCAGGAAGATACCGACCGGACCGACTCTCCGGAATGCCGGGCTGAGACTCTGATGGACCTTTTGCGATTCCCCCATACCTGGGACAGCGGCACGTGGGAGGGCATACTGCATCTCGCTGCGGCAAAGGGGATGGCCGCGGTTGTCGATGCTGCCTTGGGCGTTGAAGGGCTCGATCCCAATTGCTGTGACGATCGAGAGCAAACACCTCTGATCAAGGCGGCTGAAGGCGGGCACTATCAGGCGTTGGAGCGTCTCTTACGGGATCCCAATGTTGATAGAAGTCGCAAGGACTGGTCCAAATTCTCAGCCATTACTATGGCATCTTTATGGGGGCATCGAGAACTTGTCGAGCTGCTTGCCTTGGACCGACAATGTCTCATGGATGCCGAAACTTACGCAGACGTTTTGCAGTGTCCGTACGGACTTGATGTCGCCAAATTCCTTCTGGACCGTGTCCACTGGTATTACCCTCATCGCAGCTCTCGTAATGTTTCACCGCTAGATGCTGCGATGAGCGGCGCTTTAGAGGTGAGGAACCACGAGCTGGTCTCTTTGCTTGTGAATCGAGGCGCAAACGTCAACCACACCGACAGCAAGGGAGTCACGCCGCTACATAGCGCTGCGTCCCGGCACGACGCCGAGTCGTGTAAATTTCTCCTGCAGTCCGGAAAAATATCCAATGTAAATGCTCGAGATAAGGATGGCTGCACGCCGCTGCACATGATTGCGAATGACAAAGGCCAAGAGGGTTTGTCAGGCCGACGTCAAGACGTCTCCGCTGTCAGAGCCCTGTTGGAGGCCGGTGCCAAGGTAGATTGGACGAATGTAGACGGGAAAACAGCCCTGTTCGTCGCAACACTCTGTGGGAATCTTCCTGTAGCCGTGGAGCTCCTCAAGCACGGGGCGAATCCGGTCGCTGAAACGAATGACGGGCGGACGCCGCTGCAGGAGGCGGCCAGGAGAAGCACCAGGTTTTTCCAGCTCATGCTAGATGAGGTCGACAGGAGGAATGAATCAGCCGAACGAAGGAACTTGTCTCGGGACAGTCCGCTCACCATCGCGGCCCGGGAGGGCTGCGTGGGCGTCGTCAAGGCGTTGGCGAACAGAGACGACGTGGACGTCAACAGGTGGGGAGGAGATCTGGTACTTACACCTCTGGGAATTGCAATACATCAACGCCACAGAGAAGTTGTCGCGGTCCTCCTTCAATCCCGGAGGATTTCCTCGTTGCATGCCCAGCAACACCTGCTCTGGGAGGCAGCCAAAGGGGGCAGCCAGGAAATCCTGGCGCTATTGATCGACCACGGTGTGCACGCTTCATGTACAAGCTCCGAACTGTGGAAGCTTGCCATGTGGTCCGAAAACGCTCGCCTCATGGAAATCCTACGGAGGTCAGACTTTGGCAAGACCATGCGGGATGAACACGGCTGGTCGCTCGCATGGGTCAGATACGTCAACCTCCCGCAGGGAAGAGAGCAGGAGATTCCGCCCGAAACGTCGGGCCTGTGTTGTTTCCCACCCTCCCGCTGGGTCGATGGACGTCTAGAGCGTTGCAGGAATTTGGAAGTGCCACATATGACTCCGGCTCGGAGCCGCGCCGGACTTGAGCTCTGTCCGACGTCGTTTTCAGGTGCGTTTCCAACATGTCAAAGAGTGCCGTGTCTGTTGGGCCACTCGAGTCGCAGCTAACGTATTTCAAGGCGAATTTACCCTTGTACTTGACCGGCAAAGCACCCCTTCGTTTACGACGGACCATCCCATCCCGCCAGTCGGCGAGTTTGCATTGGAAATTGACATCCTGGAACTTGGATACCACAGGTGAGAAACTTAGTTTGAACATGGTCACTCACTGCCGCGAAGCCCTGCTTACGCGACTCGTGATATAGCGAGCTCTGGGCGGGTTTCCAACAAAACAACGCGATACTATGGCGACCGTGTGAGAAATATCCATGCTAGAAGGCCCATGGCGATTCCTCCATCTGGGTAAACCACCCATGTCGCGGAGAGACATATGGTCAGGGAGACGTGATAGGCTATTACCTCGACCAGTCAAGAGGTCGTGCCTCCTTCACCAAGAACGGACGGGAACTAGGTAGGACGAGCTGCCCGTGGAATATGTCAAAGGTGCTAACAGGATTGGCTAGGGATTGGGATTGCGTCTGAAGGCATGCGGGGTCGACTGCGTCCCATCGTGGCGGTTGAGCCGGGCAAGGCACGGATCAGAGTTAGATTTAGCTGGACCAGGCCGAGGGATCTGAAGCAGTCATAGACGACTATGCTTCCGACTGCTGGAAACAAGGGCCCTGTAGAGTAATGACGCCAGAAATTGAAACAATGCTCAGGGCGCTACCGTTGACGGCGGGGATTAATGTGACTTGACGCATCTCCAGGTACAACGCATCTCGCGCTCATGGGCGCGGCCGTGTCGTAGATTGTCAACAGTACTGTGGCCGTAAAAGGGCGTGTCCGAGACAAGATACAGGTGACCGGGAGACACCTCACGGGAGTCGGCGTCGGCCGGATCCGGCTTCTCGGAGCCTTCCGATCCGACTTCAGCCACGGCCCCGCCCCGCGCCCACGCGTGCTCGTCAAGTGCAAGTGCGCTGCTCCCACAAGTCGTGGTACACTTTGCCTGCTTCAACTGGTCCTGGTGGCGACTATCACAAAGTCCGCAGCTCAGCAGACAAACCCTGTTGACGCTCATCAAGCGCCCCAGACACTCTGCGCAATCGGACCGTGGACGGGGGATGCGGAAACTCGCTTGCTCGACGACGCGCCGCGTCATTGTACCCTTGTGGCGACTCCAAATTGGACCATCAAAAGATGGGACATTGCAAAAATGTACACCAAAATCAGAGTGGACCCTCCTACGGGCCCCGATTCGGCCCTCGGAAGCCGGCCCCGGCCGGGTGGAGTCATGGATATGTGGGGCCGGGCGTGACGCCACGGCGGGCTCTGGAGCAGATAAGAAATACCAATGGCGGCGCCTGGCTCTCTGCAAAATCAGGTCTTGACGCGTGAGCTACTACTTGAAGATGGTCTATCCTCCTGCCTGTGTGGTCAGCGATTTCCTGTCGATACGGGGCACCGTGTTGTCTCCAGAGCGCTCGGCTCCCTGCCGTGAGTCCCTGACAGAGGTGTTCCTGCCACCGGTAGCTCGTCTCGGGCATCTGTTACATATGAGAAGGTGTAGCTTCAACAGTTGTTGATTCCTTGACCCGCAACACTTGGGCTGGGGATGGTCTCGGTATGGATACACTTTTCAGCCTTGTATACATGTCCGCAACATTATCCACTTGTAACTACTCGCTTATTCTGAGTCGGTCATCACTCACCAGGGCGTTTTACTCGGTGGCGGCGCTGGCCGCTCGGTAATGAGAGGGGGGAGACGATACCGGTTTCTGGGATGAACAAGCCAACGAGCCCGCATTCGCAGTCAAGATGGCCACTGTTAGCGCCGCCGTTAGAGCAGTAACAGACATGTGCGCGATCCTCGACGTCATCATTCGCGCTCTTGTATACTGTTCTACACTCCTCAGACTCGCGTTCGTGCACCCGATCAATCAACGGCGCGGCACTGTCTTCCGTCTCTGGGGCCATCCCACGCCGCCTATTGCGAATTCCAATGCCTCATGTCGCTTCGACATACCAGATGAGAAGCGGTAGAAGCGCTGGCGGTGTCGGCTATACGCAGTGGACGCCAGGGCTCATAATATCACGGTCTCTCCGACACCAATGCCCAGCACGTGGCTCGGCGCCCAGATGTCCGGACAGGGGATGCAGTGAACGCAAAGCCAAACGTGGAGGTGGTTGTGCTTTCTTCGCACTCGCCCTGGTGGCGAATTTTCGACGGCGGCCGTGGCCTCCCGTGGGAGTGCCGAGTCGAAGAAGGCGGCTCGCTTTCCGCGCTCCTCTGGCAGCATTCTCAGATGCCGACAGCAGCATGCTAGGACAGGGTCACTCACTATTGGCAACAGCCACAGCGCGGTCAGAAATGTCAAGCGTGAAACGCCGAAGCGGACCGCGGCGTCTTTTGACCTTGGGAGACTGTAAGCAAAGGAGACAAGAAGCGGGATAGTGAAGCCCCAGGAAAGAATACAGGACAGCCGAGAAGACGACGAGGTACTCTGTGAACAGGCAATCAATTGATCAGCATCCGGTGTGCAGTCGGATGCTCGGGACTCGTGTCAACAAGCCGCACAGAGGCTGAGCTCCTGGGGACATCCATGTGATGATGTGATGATGTGATCTTGATGAGTTGTGCAACACGACGACCACCCACGACACAACGGTCGCACAGCATGATCCGTGACAGTGAGCCTAATTAAAGGGGAATGCGACAAGATATCAAGGTATGCTATTACCATGTACGTACGGAGTACAAGAGCCCTTGAAGCTCGAGTTTCGTAGCATACATGAAGAAGCCTTCAAAGACTCTAAAGCCAGTACTTGAGGTGAACAATTGTTCTTCTCGCAACGACAATCACCTCCTGTCCTCGGTAACAGAATTGCCCCTCACGTGGCTGCGATGAGCCGTCTGGAGCGGCAGACCGACTCGGCAGGGCGGCGGGGGTGACGGACCTTAAAAAGTCCCGCCCCCCTGAGCAGGAACGCAAGAAACGGGCGGGCGGGCGGGCGTTGACCCTGCCCCTTGCCGCTGCAGTCTTACACGCCGGGACGATGATTCGTGGCCTCATGTTGCAACGGGCGTCAGCAAGCTTATGCTCCAGTTTCCGCCCTGCCAATCGTATTCGACACTGCCACGGCGTCTTCTGCGGCCATTGCTCTTCTCGGGTGGTTCTTTTTCGGCACCAGCCCGGTCAGGTTGGTCCGAGTCATACGAGCATGTCAGCCCGGGGCCCTGACGCGGCACCCGGAGGGGAGCGAGCCATGGGAACCATGGCAAACAAGGCGCAGACGGCTCCAGGTATTTAACCTTTGACGCGTCCGGCTCGTATGGTCCGGCACAGTGTTTGATCCCTCTCCCCAACGCCTTGTCAATCTCGAAAACCGGCCGGTCCAGCTGACGCGACGTTTGACACCAACAACCGCCTTTGAAGATGAGAGTTTCGGCAACCGTCCTGGCGCTCTTTTTGAGTGTAGCCATGGCGAAGCCGACCTGGGACGTAAAATGTCCGCAGGGCGGGATTTCCGGCTGCATGATGCAGAGCTGTCCTCCGAAGGGCTGTCCTTCTGGCCTGACGTGCTGCCCCAAGCCGTGTGGAGGCAGCTGGGTAAGTTTGATGTCTGCCGATGCAGGTTGGAGTAGCAATGGTGCTGATGGAGCATAGTGCCTGAAATTATAAGATGAGGACTGAATCTATAAGCTTGCCCTGGTTTGCCGGACACCGGGGCCATTTGTCAATAGCGTCATCCCATCCTGTGCGTTTGTAGGCTGTGGATCAGACTGGCCCACGAGGCATGAAGTCGGTGGTTGTTGTTGTTGTTGTTGTTCTTTTTGGAACACATCTAGCCGGCTACGGAGCTGTGACTTTGTATTCAAGACAGCTGGCTTGAGTGATGAAAAGTTTTTGGGCCTTCATACGACTCGTCCACAGTCTAGTATCTCAAGCTGTCGTGTTTGTTTGCCATGTACGGAGTAGGTGTACTTGGAGGACGGGGGTTGGTGCATACAGCAAGCGAATTGACGTCGTGAGAAACACCTCATTCTTATCCTAAACGTGAAAGCAGCCCGTTCACCAGAAAGCACGCGCCTTGTTGTATACACGGCCCTCGTTGGCCAGGTCCTGCCGATGGGAGAAGCACGATGTCCCGAGGCTCGAGCCCTGATCCAAGTGGCCGGCGCTTGTTACAGGGACGCTTTCACTGTAACTAACGTTAAATACACGCGCTGACCCCTGCATCCGCCAACAACGGCCAACCACAACGCAACGCGCGCGGCACAGCAGGGAAGGCACGGCACGGGCCCCACTTGTCCACGACGTGCATCCCCGTCCTCCAATCACGAAAGCCAATTCCCGTCGCCAAAAGCCTCCCTGCTCTCACCGCACCTTTGCTCTGTCTGTCCCTTCTTGCCGCATCGACTTTCGACCAAGCTCAACATGGCAGACAACGTGGCCTTCAAGCTTGCCGTCCTCATAGACGCCGACAACGCGCAGCCGCACATGGCAAGCGTCCTGCTCGCCGAGATCGCCAAGTACGGCACCGCCTTTGTCAAGCGCGCGTACGGCGACTGGACGGGCACCAACCTCAAGGGATGGAAGGACCAGCTTCTGCAAAACTCCATCTTGCCGATGCAGCAGTTTGCCTACACGCAGGGCAAGAACTCCACCGACGCCGCCATGGTCATCGATGCCATGGACTTGCTGTATTCCAACCGCTTCGACGGCTTCTGTCTCGTGTCGAGCGACAGCGACTTTACCCGCCTGGCCTCCCGCATCCGCGAGTCTGGCCTGGTCGTGTACGGGTTTGGGGAGCGCAAGGCTCCAAAGGCCCTCGTCAGCGCCTGCGACAAGTTCGTCTACATCGAGAACCTGTCGCGAAACGTCGACTTCGCCCCGGACCTTGCCGTCCGCACCCACAAGGCCGCCGCCGCCGCCGCCGCCGCCGCCGCCGCCACGCCGGCAGTCGGCTTTCCCACGGCGCAGGCTCTGATACAGGAGGCCATAGAGACGCAGTCGGATGACGACGGCTGGGCCAACCTCGCCGACGTTGGTAAAATCATCACCAAGTGGCAGCCGGATTTTGATGCTCGCAGCTTCGGGTTCCTCAAGCTCAGCCACATGATTCGCTCCGACCCGACGTTGGAAATCACCGCACGCTTCCCTTCGCTGGGGAAGCCGGCCGTGGTCTATGTCCGCGCCAGGAAGCGATCCAGATAGGACGACGTGTTCTTTTCTGCAAGCCTTGTTGATTTGGGAACCCTGGTTTCCGACGTTGGTGCCGGTTTGTTAGTCTTGAGTGCCCTCGTGTTACCTATGGCCGCCGGTCGCACTCATCTCTGTGCGTCATGTCAGTTTCGTGGGCCTCCAAGCATTGACTGATGATGCTCATGCACTCGAGACCGTCAGTCAACGGCCAGCAAGATGACCAGCTGACACGAGGCTTGGGCTTTATTCATGCCACGATAACTACCAGGAATGTCTCACACTGCTCGCCCAGCCCGATGGTATCAAGCACGGGACGCGGGAGGAATGCACAAGCCGGCACATTTACACTCATTCTACACGCATAAATCCCGTCGCCCCTTGAACCCGGCATGCGCTCACGACTCGCGCGCCAGGGAGACCATGCAATCTTCATGGCAACCCACACGGCGCCATTGGTCGGAGAAGAAATCCCCACGCACAGCATCGTGGCAATCACAGCTTCCTTCTCTCCAGCACATGGGAGCCCCGACAACTCCCTAGCACGAAGCTAGCACTGATACTGCCCCATGGCACATGCCAACCAGGATTTGAAAAGGGCAAGCAAGAGAGCAGGGAAGCCGGGGACGGGCTAAAAAAACCGAGGAAAAAAAAAACATCCCACGTTGGAAATAATAATAAACAACAAGGAAGACAACAACCCGCCCCCCCTCTCTCTTCTACCTGCATCGCCTTTGACACGCGAACCGGTGCGAGACGGGGGGAGAAGAAAAAAAGCCATCAACCGCGTGAAATCATGTCGCCGCTCCCCAAGTCGACTGCGCGCAAGCACACCGTCTTCCTGCTCTGCCTGTTCTCGTCGCTCGTCGTCAGCTTCGCCCTCTTCGCCTACTTCATGTTCCTCCCTCTGTCGCAGTTCACCACACGCAACCACGGCCACCACGGCCGCCCTCCCAAGTCCGGCCACGGGTCGCACGCGCCTGCGCATCTCGCCGCCCTCGAGGCGAGCTCCAGGGTGGTCGAGTTCGTCCCGCACGACGAGTACCGGAACCTCGGCCACGACCACGACGCCCTGTGGCAGGACGACCTGCTGCCCCCAAACGGGGGCTACTTGACGCCGGCCCAGAACGGCACGGCCGGTAGAGTCCGCCTGGCCATGTTCCACCAGCTGCATTGTCTGGCAGCCATCCGCTCCGAGATGCAGCATCTGCAAGATGGCGGGCCGTCGTCCCCGTCCCCGTCCCCGTCCTCGTCCGAAGGCCCGGTGCTCCGCCGCCGGCACCGCGCCCTAGCCTGCCTCGACTACTTGCGACAGGTAAACAACGACCCCAATGATGCTGGACACGCGCGGCTCTTGCTGCTCATTGCTGACCGTATGCCGTGTGTTTTAGTCGCTGCTGTGCATGGCCGACGCGACGACTGAGCCGGCACCGCAGTCGGACGAACCCGACGACGACGGCATGGGCGAGCGGCAGTGCAGGGATTGGAATCTCTTGTACCAGGCCTCGGCCAGGTCGGACCACGAGCCGGTGGTCACGTCGTCTGATTTGCGCTGAGTATTTGGGGGCACTGCATTTGCATCTGCGTTCGCATTCGCGTCGAGGACCGCATGGTTGTAGATGGTGTAGACTAGATTTTCTTTCTTGGCGACGGCCATCTCGTCGCACAAGGTAGCAACATGGAATTCAAGTATTGACTACCGCATGCAGTCCGGCGGCGGGTACCAAGGTCCCGTTGCCGCCGCGCAACTCTGCTCCGCGAGGTCCTCACGGTCATGTCATTTACCTAGACGCGGCATCACGACGGGCCGTGGAAACGTAGCAATGAGGTGACCCTCTCTCATTACCTCAAAACCTTACGGTGCTTGCGCCGCCAAGGTCGTCGTCTGACGGCGACTCATGACCACCGTATCATTACACGCGTGCCAACCATCCAACATGGTCGTCTGTCTCATCAACCTATCCTGCTTGACCGGCGCTTCTCCTCACCCCCGAGACCGTCCGAGCAAAGGGAAAGAAACGAGCCTTGTGCCAGTAATTCTCTCCGCGAGACATGACACTCGAAGAGCAGCACAGGACCACCCTCTCCTGGCCTAGACGTGCATCAGTCAATCACCAGCCGCCTGCCCTTTAGAGAGAAGCCAACCGCTCAGTTCGCGTGGTGGCACGCCGCCAAGGAGACTTTCGTTCCATGCCTTTTTCAATCTACCGTCCTCGTCCTGCCAGTGCATCCATCATGTACAAGGCACGAATCTGACCGGCAAAGCAGAGTGGGAGGACAAGAAAAAACACCCGGTCTGTTCCGAAAGCAGGGAAGCAAGCAGGAAAACGGAAAACAAGAACCGAAAGGGGGACTCAATCTGGACCCAAGACTAGGCGGGTTGGGTCGTGTGTGCTGCGAGAAAACAAATCTAAACAGAAGCCATGGCAACGACTGCCTCCCGTCTAAACTAGTTCAATCTGACGAGAACCAAGTTATCCAACAAGGTCATGAGATGGAATTTCAAGACTTGACAGACCAATCGCAAGATCACCAGAGTTGAACAAGTAAAAACGCCCCAGAAAAGACATCATGCCCTCCGGCGTCGGGCTATCGAGCGGAGATTGACGAAAGAGAAATCACCGTGGGAAGAACAGAGCGCAAATCAAGAAGATGCCGTGAACAACACTCACCGAGGGCCCCAGAAGAAAGAAAAAAAGAACAACAAGCCGGCACAAGAAGAATTGAGTAGAGGTTCAAGGCCCGTACACCATGGCGTTTATTATTTCCTCTCGACTCCGTCGTCATCAAATTGTCAGCCGGCCACCTCGCAAAGAGCAGAGAAGAGAGAGCAATAATCAGACAACTCCCTCATGGAACGACGCCAATCTGATGAGGGGAGATCGATGATTCATTTCAAAACGCCAAAAGGTTCTCAAAGGTCCACGTCAATCTCTTGTAACTTCTTGGTCATCTTTTTTTTTTGTGTCCCTCTTGAGGGAGGCTTTTGTATTGTTGTTGGTTTCCTTCCGACTATTCATCCCGGACTCGGATCCTCCAACTTCGACAATGGCATAAATCCAGGGACTTGAATTGTGGGTTTGGACTGCACATGGTGCGAGTGAATCAGCCTCTCAGACCGTCTTTGGCGTGCGCGCATTCGTCACCTCAATGACATCATCCAGGTGATTGCACATGGCCACGAACAAGTCGAAGAACAGTTTGCTGCCACCGGCTTCCATTTCAGCTTGCATGGTCCCGCTCCGCTTGAAGGTCTTGCGGCAGCGGATGATCAGGGCGAGGTAATGAGCACGCAGGCGGCTGTCCGAGTCTGGCGTGTGGGCATAGGCGTACTGGGCAGACCGCAAGATGGTTGAGACATCGATGCCGGCTTGCAGGCCTTGTTTGCGCAGGGCCAGACGCTTCAGCTCCTCGAGGCCGTATCGCTCCGCGGCACAGTAAACAACCGTGTCACGGAGGACATCGGCACCCACGCTGTATACGAAAACGGTGGCGTCGGGAGCCGTGCCTGCGCGGCCACCTCCAATTTCAGGGTTTGGCGATGGACGAGGCGTCCGCACGCGGTCCTCGAGATCCCAAGAGTTACGTGACCTGTTGTGCAACAGGCGAGGGTAGTAGTCACCTTTGTAAAGATACTCGAGAATGGCGGAGAAGACCTCGGGCTCCTCGTCGGGGAGAGAAATCCTCCTGCTCTGCGAATCGGCAAAGTTGCCTCGGCAGGCGGCGTCAAAGAACGGCGACTGGCAGAGGACGTCTTGGTGCGCTGCAAAGAGCCTGCCCTGCCGGCCGACCGTCAAGGTCACGATGGGCGACGGCGTGGCGGATTTTTGGGCAATACGATCCTGCTCATTGAGCGATCTTTGCAGAATCGACAACTTCGCAAGGTCCCGGATAGAGCCCGGCTTCTTCAGTCTCGCAGACTTGTCGACGCGGTTCTGGTCTTGCGACTTGAAACTGCGTTTAAACATGGCTGCGGACTCGCCAAAGAACCGAAGACCGTCTCGGCCGGGACAGCAAGCACAACGTGGTCGAGGGCAGACAGGGAAACGACCACTCTGGAAAATCCGAAAATGAGCGTCTCTTGTCTGGGTCAAAGCCTGAGCGGGCCGGCGGTTCGGTACTGGGAATCTGGGCTCGACACCGGACGTTGACGTTGCGTTTTGACCACTTGGCGAGAGAGCGACGAAGAGAGCGAGGAGGCGCGGGTTGGGGGAGGCAAAAGAGTGACTGACGCACAAGGGGGGTTGACAGGCAGGTCCGGGAGAAGAAATACCGCCTTGATGACAAGATCAAGATGATAGATCTTCGTATGAGCTTTGCGACCCTACTCTTGGCTGTGAGTGGGGGAGGAAGGGGAAAAGGGAAAAAAATGGCTGCGTGGGAACTGACAGTACTTGTACTCCCGCACTGGTGGCAGGCAGGGATTCTGAGATCCATGCCAAGTCAACATCACCATCACCGTGAACAAGACGCACCCCGTTGGCTGCCTTGGCTCACGTCCACACCATCCCAACATGCAATGCAGCCTTGTAGCTGCGCCCCCATTACTTTGGGCCGTAGGCAGATGCAACTGTCAGATACTACGGAGTACGGAGCACCGTGCTGCCAAAATCAACCACGCGATGCCATTGTCCCAGGCTAAGCTGTTGGCCAAGGTGCCCCCGACAGCCTGGCCATCACCGTCTCAGTCCTGAACCAAACTTCACGTCGATTCACAGACGAGTTCATCAACAAGACCCGTCAACCCTCAACCCACATCCTCGTGGAGAAAGATCCCGCTTAATTTTGTGGGCCATGCACCCGTCACACTAAAAAATTGACGTGGCCCACTTCACGCTATGCGACAGCACCTTGTACCGAGTACCGAGAGATCAGTGGGCGCGTCAAATCTTAGGTCAATTGACTACGGATTCTAGGGTCATGCTCAATGCCAACTTAAGAGATATGAATCCTTCCTTCAACCTCCTCCTTCCCCCTTTTCACCACGCTTCTGTATAGGAGATTTTCAAAGGGTACGGTCTCCGGTGTCGGCATGCGTCGATCTCAACGTCTTCATCGAGCTCAAGAGTCGAGGCCATCGTTGGCGCCACGCGACTCCGATCGTCGTGTCAGGCTCTCGCGAATACCAATAAGTCCCTGCATCAGGGTGAACACTACAACACATGGTTAGCTGAAGACTGGGTCCGTGATCCGGGAAGTAGCGACTGACTGGTAGGGGCCAGAAACAAAAATCCGATGCAGTAAATTGAGACGGCTTCTTTGGACCCAACCTGCTCTTCGTCCATCCAAAAGAAGGGGTATTTCCCGCAAATTGACTTTCCAATGGCACCCCACGCAAGGTAAAGTCCAGAGAGAGCCATCGTGCAAATGATGGATGATCCGATAGCCTGATGTACAGTTAGCTGCGTTTCACGAGACGCTGGTACCTTGTTCCACAGAAACTTACATGGGGCTTCTTGATGCTGTTGAAGAAGAAAGTCTCGATCGCCATGATACAAGAATTGACGGCATGCATATTGATCGTGATAAATGCCGTGAACCATCCTACACCGAAAATGTCGCTGACTAGAGTAAATGTGAGCCAACTGGATCATACGCTACCAACCTCATAATGTGAAGATGACATACAAGGGGCGTCTGGAATGACAACCGACGAAGGCATCTTGACAGAGGCTGCAAAAACAGTGGCAGCCACTTTTGATGCCATATTGGCACCAGCGGCTTGGTCATGCTGTCTGGTAACGAACCAATAGATGGTGGAGTTCATGAAGCAAAATACGGTCGTTGCAATGTGGAACATGCTAAAGTAGAATTGCTTCCGTTGGCTTGCCATATTCTGCGGCAAGGACATGGCCTTGATGATGGCTCGCTCGACTCTGCCTTCTACCTCGTTTGGTTCGGGGTAGTAAAGGTGAGTAAATGTCCATGACTGACACAGGGGTTAGCGCTGCCAAGCACATTCAAGGAACACGGATTTGAAGACGCACAAACGTGATAATATGGTATAGTATGGCCAAGGCGAAAGAGATATTGGAAAAGTCAAACAAGTTGGCCAGGGGGCTGTCTTCTGTTTCCTCTACGTTCATCTTGTAGTGACCTGTCATGACTGCCGCTGCCGCCATGTACACGAGGACGCAACCGCGAAGGACGACCAAGGCGTTCTGAGGAATCCATCGCCATGGGGAATGGCTGCATCGAAGAAAGATGGGCTTGGTGCAATTCAATCAGCAATGGCCCATGTACGCGTCCGATTCAAAGCACTTACGTGGTCCTGCATGATAACAGGAGCAGGAAGGCCATTGTGGCCGAGAAGTGGAGTGGACGACATTTTCGGAGTGGTAGCCGCAGAGGATGTCGTGAAGCAATATATAAAAAAGTGGCGAGTAGAATACCGAGTGGACTGTGACTGTTAAAGCTGCAGAGACCAAAACACAGCCAGCAGACGCCAGGCTGGCAAGCAAATGGAGATGGATGCGATGGCGGCTGTAGGAGAGAAGAAAAGGAAAAGTCGAGAAGAGGCAGAGGGAGAAGACCAAGTAGGGCCCGTTCTCTTTCTGGCTGCGATTTACCACCAGACGGGGAAAGTGGTCATGAGGACTCAGGAGCATTGGGTAGCACTTTTTAGGAAGGAAGCAGGTGCAGTTGGCAACGCAGTTTCTTCTAACCAAACGGTCAACAGTACAGTACAACTGAACGCCCCAGCCTCATCCGCGAGCAACTCATGACAGGCGACAGGCGACAGTGTCGGTTCTTTATTCGCATTCAATGCTGCCATGGCAATGCAGTAATCTTGTGTGCAGCAAAGCATCCATTATTTTCATCTTACACGCAACGAATAGGCTCAGTCATACTGGGCGCAGCGAGACCTTGAATGCGACTTGTGCCGGCTCAGTCCTTCCTGCTGCTTTCCCTTCCCTCTTTCTTCATGCCTTCGCAGCCGGTCAGCTTGCCGGCCAATTCCTCAGGCTTTCCGTAACCTTGGGAGTCGTCTCTCTTCTCTCCTGCTGCTTTCATGGTCGTCATACCGGCCGCCTTGTCTTGCTCGCCCGACGACTTCCAAGGGTGCGATCCTGTCACGTCTCCTACAACGGCCTGCGAACGCCGTCAGTCATCTGCGATGAAGGTGAGGGAGTCTGATCTCGATGGCTCTTGCCTACCTCCGCAACTCCTTTGGCATACTGAATGTGGCCTTGAACAAGACCAGGCTGCTGGGGGGTGTCATCGGCCATTGCGCTCAAAATTACGTCGAGTTGTTGTTGCCTAGGGCTTGTTCTGGTAGCCGAGCAGAGGGGATCATTCAGGTCATTTGCAAAGAGGAGAAGCGTCTGTGATGGACCCAGCGCGTTCGACCTTTAAGTAGCCAGTGTTGATGACCGATGGCACCCATCTCCTCCCTCTTGACTCTCCATGACATCACAATCAATCCTGGGATCTGAAGAGGTGAGTGCTGGCTGCGGCGTGAAACCTTGGCCCCTCAACTCCTCAACGTGGCTGCACTTGTGGCTGGTGGGCTAATTAGTCCTACGAGCGGGAGGCTGAAGCTGGCTGCCAACTGCGAGCAAGGCGTTTAAAGTGGTCCGTGCACGGTTGTCCCTGGTGGGAGCCACGATGTCCTGATCCCGGAGTCGCAACTTCACGCATCGCATTGCCGCAGCTGCAACGCTGCTATGACCGTAGGTTTCGTCGACAATTTGAGGAGACTGCCCGAATTCCCGCTTTCCGATATCCACGGTCGATCTTTTGCTTCATCAAGATGTTATCAGGCCTCCAGAACCCACGGCAAGCTGCCGCGCAGCTCATGAACTTTGCCTTAATACTTTCAACGGCATTCATGGTACGTCTAAATCGCACAGCAAAACACCCAATTCCTGCGACGGCCAATTTTTGTGCATAAATAGGCCGTGAGTGGGCAAATTACTGATCGAGTAGTAGATGTGGAAAGGTCTTTCAGTGGCTACCGACTCCCCCTCACCCATCGTCGTCGTCCTCTCCGGCTCCATGGAACCAGCTTTCCAACGTGGCGATCTCCTCCTCCTATGGAACCGAAACATATGGCGAGAAACTGCGGTGGGCGAGGTTGTCGTTTACAATGTGAAGGGCAAAGATATCCCCATCGTCCACAGAGTCGTTCGCAAATTCGGAACTGGGTAGGACCCCCTGCTCGAGCAGTGGTCGAGGGACGACATGTGCTAACCAAGAGTTCTCCAGTGACAAGGCAAAGCTTCTCACAAAAGGTGACAACAATAATGCCGACGACACAGACCTCTATGCCCGCGGGCAGGATTATCTGGCGCGCGAGGACATTATTGGCAGCGTAGTCGGATACTTTCCGTTCGTCGGATACGTCACAATCCTGTTGTCGGAACATCCTTGGTTGAAGACGGTCATGCTGGGTATGATGGGTCTGCTGGTGATGATTCAGAGGGAGTAAGCAGGGCGGGACGGATTCTACACAGCGCTTGAAAGACACACCATGCAATACGGGCATTGGCATATGGAGTCGCGGCAATCCTTGACCGAACCAGACGATTGAAAGCAGCCGCCCACAAGCTGGAGTACGGAGACAATTTGATACTGAGGGAAGCCGAGGGAAAATTTTCACAATAAATAAATGCATCAAACAGCCGCCGCCTTGCGATGTTCAACCTTATGAACAATTGACTGACTGACCCGGCTCCGACACCACGCCTGTCAATGACTTTCGACACAATCTCATACCTTTTGTAGATGACTGTACGCCCATCATTACGTGCCGGGTCGACATGGCTGGCGATCTGGCTGCTCAGGAGACCTTGGGACGCCACACCTCTCTTCGGGCATTTTGTTGCGCTGACTTTTGCATTCAGGTCCAGAACAAGGTCAGGCGACGGTGTTGGAGCAGACTCGTCGAAAGGTGAGCAATGGCGCAAACAGCCCATCGACTCTCTATTGTATCCAGGCGAGTGGGATGTGAAACTGGTCATACTCAGTTGGAAGTCGTAATTAAGCACAAGAATATAGATGAAAATTTCTAAACTCATGACCCAATCGTCGTAAAGACGCCCGGTTAGCTCAATCGGTAGAGCGTGAGACTCTTACGAGTACACGAAATCTCAAGGTTGCGGGTTCGACCCCCGCATCGGGCTTTTCCTATAACATGAAAGACTGAGACGAACTTGGTTTTTTGTCCTCGGCGCTTCTTTTTTTGACTACTAGTAAATTGTGCGCTCGAATTCCACATAAAGCTACTCCGTCCCTGTCCCATGATGCAGTCTACTGGATCAGGTGTATCGACATCTGGTCCGTTCGAGGACCAAGTACAAAGACACGCAATTCACTAACAAGTCGTGGCGACTTGGTACAAATACGTCGTCGTCGTCTTCGTCGTCGCTAGCGTCAAAACTGGCGGCCCCTCCTGAAGCCATCAAAAAAAGCCTGAAGTACGTCACGCCTCAGTCCGTCGTCCTCGTCCACGGCCGCAATAATGCCCTCTATCTTGGCTCTCTGCTCCCCCTCGTAGGCCCCAAAGGCCTGCGGGAGCTCCAGCTCGGCGAATACCCGCCTCACCTCGTCGGAGCGAGACGCGTCCTTGCGGCCGTACCCCTCCAGGAGACGCCGTCGCTGCTCTTGGTCTGCCCGCGCCAGGGCCTCGACAATGAACCACGTGCACTTGTTGTCTTGGATATCCGTGCCGTGCTTTCCGGTGACGGCATAATCCCCAAACACGTCGACATAGTCGTCATTGACCTGGAAGTACTCGCCTAGCGCGACGGAAAAAGCACGCGTCTGCCGCAGATTCTTGGGCGTAGCGAGCTGCCAATACTCGAGGGCGAGCGTGAGGGGCCCGGAAATGCTGTACGACGACTTGTCCCTGACAATGGCCCAGTACTGGTCCATGGTGAACTTTTCAGCGTCGGGCTCCCTGGCGGCGGCAAGATCGCGCAGCTGGCCCAGCTCGGTGTGGAGGCCGGTGTCGACGAAGAGGTCGACCATGTTGGCGTAGGCGGGATGGTGGCGGAACGAGGTTTTGAGCAGGAAGAAGATGATGGATTTCAGCAGGCACGCGTCGTTGATGGCCATGAGTCCTACCTGCGGCTGGCGGTACCAGCAGAGCTCGCCGCGCCGGGTTGTCGAGCCGTCCATTATGTCGTCGAGGATCAGGTAGTGGGCGCCGAGCATCTCTGCGAGCCATGCGAGAAGAGTGAGCTGCCGCGACTGGTCCACGCTCACGGGCTTCTGGGCGAGCTGCTTGCCTGCGTACAGCGTGGCCAGTCCACGGTGGAGTTTGCCAGCGCCGACGTTGGCAGAAAAGCACTGCGGGCGCGTGTCGGTGAGTACAGGTTCGGCTTTGGTGATGACGCGCGATGTCGAGTGCGGTTACGGAGTATTACCTGGCTGAAGTGGTTGACTGTGGCTTCGTCAAGGCCTTGAGAGGCGAGGTACTGTGCAACAGTGGCGTTCAGGCTGGCAAAGCCTGCGAGTAGCTCGTCTCTCAGGGCATCCATGTTTACGCGCAGGTCGCACAGAGAAGGGGGTAGCTGGTTGTTACGCAGGTGATGGTGACGAGCAGCACAGCCGGGTGGGAGTAACAAATTGGAACGACTCGCGGCGCGGCCATCTGGCCGACGAGTGGACTGCAACTGTCATTGTCACATGTCACACGAAGTGTTATTGGCGTGGCAGCCGCGCGGGCACACTCGGTGAGGAGCAGGCGAGCTTTGTGCCTGGAAGGTGAAGAGGTGAAGATGATGATCACTGCTGGCACGCAGTTGAGTTGCAGGCGGCGAGACGGGGAGACATGGACTGTGACATTGTTCGAAGATTTGCGTCGCAATTGTCGAGCGTTGACGGGGAGGAGACGGAGAGAAGAAAAAAACCCTTGGGCTCGGTCACATCAATTGATGGCCTCTCGCTTGGCGATTTGAGGCGGCGTGCTTGGTTGGGATGGTGTGGCGTTGCTTTTTTTTCTTTTTTTTTTCTTTTTTTTTTCTAAATATACAGAGCACATCCGGCGGTGCTGCTGCTGCTACTGCTGCTGCTGCCAGATGCAGATGCAGCAGTGGCCAACAGAGGGCGACATCTACCAGCCCTCAGTCCATGGTGCGGCATGCTCGTTAGATGGGCGTTCTTCTCCTCTGCCTCTCTTCACGATTCATCCCCCTCGTTGCTGAGCCTGGTCCCTGCGTGTCTCGTCGCTCCCTGCTCGTCTCCCTCGCCTCTGCTGCCTTGCACGATCCCCGGTGCTGTCCTGTCGGTCCGACCAGCCGCACGTCCAAGACAGTCGGTCCGTCCGTCCGCCGTCAACACCAAACCACGCTCGCTTCACGATGCAGACCATGGCCCCTGAGCAGCCTTCCGAACCGCAACCACACACGCCATCGCCCGTCTCAACTCAGCGTCGAGAACAGTCCCTGGCCCCGGTCCAGCAACCGTACGCTGCCTGCCCTCAATCCCTTGCAGCTCAACCGGCCCCCGTCCCCCTATACACCCAGTCCCCTGCCGCCCAGGACCAGCAGAATGCCCAACAGGCCATCACCTACATGACCGTCCCCCAGCCGTTACGGCACCCGCCCGAGTCGAGCAGGAGAAAAGCAACAAAGGACATCCTCCACGTCACAGCCATGGTCATGTCCATCATCGGCATGGGCTTCGCCTTCTCGCTCCTAGCAAAGGCCGTGGACCGAACTCTCCGCACCACGAGACACGGCTACTCAGACAACTTCAACGACTACCTCCCCGCCATGTCAGCCAGTCCCATCGTACGTCCTCCCCCCGTCCGTCCGGCAGTCGCAAGAGAAGACACCACTAACCCCCCCAAAGTTCGCCGCCTCCTGCCTCTGGAGCCTCGTAGAGATGGTGGTCCGCTGCGCGCGCAGCTGGAAGGCCGGCATCCACCCAGGCGCCCACGTCGGCGTCTGCCTGTGCCTGTGGCTCGCGGCCGTCATTGCCGGCGCCCTGCTCGCCGTCCTCGCCGCCCAGCCCTACGACGACCTCGGATGCGACGGCGACGGCGACGGCGCCAACGCCAACGCCTCGCCGTGCGCGCGCCGCTCGGACCCCGACCCCGTGTTTGTAGGGACGACGGTCCTCGCGCTGCTCCTCGCCGCCGTCGAGCTCGCCCTCTTCGTCATGGCCTGCGCCGACACCCACCTCCGCAACCGGTGGAGGCGCACCCTCGTCGTCGCCTCGACGCCGTGCTGGGCTCCCCCGCCGCCCGGATGGCACGTCGCCGCCGGTCACGAGCGGCAGCAGCAATTCGCCGCCGAGATGAGCGGCGACGAAAAGCACCCAGCGAGGGAGTTTAATGCACCCGCCACGGCGGCGTAGTCTGTAGCCCCGTCGACAGAATATGTCTAGGGGGCGACATGATCGGCCACAGGGTCCACGGGTACTTAGTTAATACGTCGTCGATAGGGAGCAAAGACAGCATATAGACATACCGGCACGCACTCAGACATGGAACACGACCCCATCATAGAAAGCAGGCGGCGCCAGCGGCACGTGAGCAAAAATGCCTGATATTCCATGCCTAAATTACATAGTCAAAAGCGCAACGCAGAATATAGAAACCCACTATCAAAGGACCATCAGGCCGCAATGCAGAATATGAAACCCAATCAAGCCATCAGGCAACATGACCAAAATATCAAGGTCCCCAACGCCAAACCCTGCTGCGCAGAGCAAAAGGGGTATTCATTCCATTCGTCGCCTCCAAGCTCTAGCGGCCAGCTTCACAGGTCGTCCCTCGCCTCCTCCCAGCGCTTCGTGCTCGCCAACTTCCTCATCTTCTTGGGACTCCCGCCGCCGCCCGCACCGGCACTACCGGCACCCGACGACCTCGCGCTGTCCGTACCGACACGGATTCGCTCCAGCTTCTTGCTCAGGTTCGCCACGCCGTCCCTCGAGGCTGTCGCCGTCGCCGTGGCAGGCGACGCGGAGAAATCGTCTCTCTCCTCAAGGGGCCTGCGCTTGGTGGGACTCCGGCCCGCCAGCTCGCGCTTCAGAATGGCGTTTTCTCGCCGCAGCCGCTCCACCTCCTCGGTGAGGTCCTCGACCAGGACATTCTCCTTGTCGCAGTCGCCGTCGTCTCGGGTGCTCTCCAGGCCGCGCTCGAGGATGTCCACCTTGCGATCCCAGTGCTCCTCGCTGCGCTCCTGCTCCAGCGCCACCGAGGCTTTAAAGCGAGCCAGCTCCAGCGCGAGGCGCTGCTCAAACTCTGTGGCGCACTCGTCACGAATGGCCGCTTCGAGGTCCAGCATGCGGTCTTCCATGCTCAGCAGGTAGGCCTCGGCCGTCATGCGCGCCTCCAGCTGCTCGTCGGCTTCCACGCGGAGCTGGTCGATTTCGTCGCTCATTCTGGCAATTTCCATGGCGGCAATCTCCATGGTCGCGCGCCCATCCACGTTCATGAGCGGCGTGGGGTTTCTGTACGACGCCGACAGGCCGGGCGGCACAAACGGCCGAGCATGGTGCTGCACGGGGCTGGATGGTCGCGGGTTTCCCGTCGGCGGCGGGTGAGCTAGGATCGTGGCCGTGATGGACGGGATCCGAGGAACAGTCACCTCCCGCGCCAGAGCGCTGTACCGCAGAATCTGCGACGTTGCGTTGAAGTCGCCCCTCGGGTCGGCAGTCACAATCATGACGCCTCGCTGCGGATTGCGGCGGGGCATGTGAGGATGCGCGGCAGACGACGAGGTCGGGAACGAGTTGGAGAAGAGCAGCTCCGTCAGCTTGCACTGGCGGTAAGGAACAACATTGGTCTACCAAGAAGAAGCCGGGTCAGCATGGCCCGCCCGTGCGAGGTACAATCATCATCATCAAACAGACGTGGACTCACCCTCGTCGACGTCGACAGCTCGCTCTGCGTCTGAAGACACTGTCCCAGGTACATCAAGCTCTCGTTGATCTTGCCAGCCTCGACGAGCGTGGCACCCTGCGTCTTGGCCTCGCGGGCCCGCTCGCTGCCGGCCAAGTCGACAATGGTCAGCTTGCTCCCGCCCCAGGGCCCTGGCCTCCTGCTCCTCGTGCGTTTCTTGACCTCGAAGCAGAAGAAGCCGTGGCTTCGGCTGGAAACGCTGTTGCTGCCGGTGCCAGCAACGCGGCGCTCCAAAAGGCCCGCCTCGAGCACCATGACGGCATCCCTGAGCGAGGCGCAGACTACCTTGCGCAGGCCGGCAACCACCTTTCGGTCGGGAGACAGCTCCGTCGACTTGAAGAGCAGGGGTCGCCGGCGAAACTCCTTGGTGGCAGCCGACTTGGAAGCCGGCGTGAGGAGGTCGTAGATGCGGTCGTTGTGGACTTCGTACATGGACACGACGACGGCGTACTCGGCCGACGAGTCGCACGAGATGTTGACGCCGCTAATGTCGGGCGTCTGAGGAAGAGCAGAAGGTCGAGCAAGGTTTCTACGCGGCCCGGGCGACATGACGCTGTGGTCTACCTTTACTTGTGACTTAGCAACGTTCTTTACACGGGCAGTGGCAGTGAGGGACATGAAGTGTCTCTTGCTCTCCCGCTTGGGCGGCGGCGCAGCCTGCGATGCCGCAACACGCTCGTCGCGGCCGGACGCGGGCGCGCCGCTTTGCTGGACGAAGCAATCCTACTGCTCCTTGAGCTTGCGGTTCTGCTCCGTCTCGCTGACAAGCCTGACACTTTTCGGGCTTGACGCTGCTGACTCGGGATACGTCCCTGGGATCTGGACTACCAGACCGCCCTCAGGATAGCAGGCCCCGGATGCGGCGGATTGGGGAGACGCGCGGACAAAAGAGACGCGCGACGCGGGTGACGGTCGTACCAGCATGGGCGTTGCCGCTCGCGAAGGCGCCCGCGAGTGGCCCGACGCATCGGCAAATGTAGATTCAACAAAGTGCGATGCCGTACAGAGAATCGACTCGGACGCATCGCACGCCTGGAGGGATTCCACGGCCGAAGGAAGTGATACCGACTCGAGCATGTTCGGGCCAATCGATCGGAAAAGAACATCGAGAGCAAGCTGGGTCAGGCCGCGCTGGGACTTGGATCCCAGAATCGTGTGCGTCTGTAGCGCCCTCGGTTAGAAACATGAGCTCGCCGACCGCTTCGAGGCAAGGTTTTTTTTTAAGTAAAGTATTCCAACCTCACCTTTCCCGACCCCGTCACGCCCAGCGTCGCCACAACGGCATCGGTCCCTTCACCTCCCTGGGGCGCCAAAACTCCCTCGGCCAGAGCTGCAATCTCTGTGCAGTGGAAGACATCCAGCTGTGAGGCATCGTCGTCAAACACCCTGGTGAATGCAAACTTTTCAATGGCCCGCCGTCTATCGGTCGGCGGGTTCAGCGTGATGTGCGAAGGGTGCGACCTTTCCTTGTCCTCGGGCACCTCGACGTTGAGGATGCGGTCCGCCTGCGTGGCACCTGCGGGTGGCGGGCGAAGACGCAGGTACACCTCGAACAGGTTGTGAGACGATGGTCTGGGGGGCGCTTCCATCGCGGGCATCAGCCAGGCTTGTCGTCGTGATCCGCCGTCCGTGGAATCGGAGGTATCAGGCGTAAAGATGCACAAGAAAAATATGGCCAATGGTGAAATGCTACCTGGCCCGGGTGATCTCTGCAGGTAAGAGGGGTCGTGAAAGGCAACAAGAGGCCAATTGACGCAAGCCTTGAACAGTTCACGAAACGAGGCGAGAGTTGTCGTTGGGCCCGGTGTTTACTGTGGTCGGGTCGGTGGTGCGGTTGCCGGGCAACCCCCCCCCCCCCCTCCCCCCCGGGGTCCGCGCGATGCACGTCTCACAATCGAGACGGGCTGATGGCCGAGTAGCGCGAAGAAAATTGCTCTTCTTTGATGCTGGGGGTGGCTTCGGAAAGAATCTCTTGACAAGTTTTGTTCTTCCTGCTCTGTGTTGAAATGGTTGACTTGGAGGCTAGGAAAGCTGGGGTCTGGTTCGTGTGGCGTGCGCCATGATCAGCTTCGCAGCCTTGGCGTGGCGTTTACAATATGCTTTCTGACTTTTGTTTATCTGCCTGCTGGTTGCGGAAGAGTCGAGCCGATGAAGCTCGTCAAGGTATGTCAAGGCTAATTAATGGTTGGCGGGATGCGCAGGTCTTGGACAGGCTTAGTTGCATTGGCACTTCTTTGTGAGGAAACAACTTTGCATAACGAGATGAAAGCCGAGACCGAAAATTGTGAAAGTCTTTTTACCTTTCTCTGAAATCCTGGTTTGTTATGTCGATTGCATCACGCTGTTGCACATACCCTACAACACGGCTCTAATTTTTAGGTGGCGTTTGTACGGACGGGTCGGCTGAATCCCTGACTTGTTTGTGCAAACGATAATGGCATTATGCCGTCGCGAAACAAAGTAGATCGGAGGCCATATCCTCGCAGAAAACGAGGCTCGACTCCAATCAGCGTCGTCATCGTTGCTACTTCGTAGCTCGAAGTAGTAAGGCGAGAGGAGAGCGACCCCTCCCCACCCAAGAAAAAAGCTGGCGGGGAAGGAGCCGATTTCTGTGGAGCAGCTTTTTTAATCAGTGCAGTTTGCTGCAGAGCCTCTGGTGAATTTGTGTATTTTATCAACAAGAGAGAGCTTTATATTTCAACGCCTACCAACTTGAGCACCTTGGTAGCCAGTTCAAGAGAACAGGACTCCCAGCAGCTACGTCACAAGAGAGTACGATTTCCATCGGCGCCCAATGACTCGGCAAGGTTTCGATGCATGTGGGCTTGGACATGACATGGCAATCTTCGCATGAACATGGACGACGAGACGAGTTACAGTCACCCCCTTGATGGCCATGCCCGGGACCTGCAGCACCCGTGACCACTCGGCACTGGCGACGGACATGGCAACGTGTCGACAGATTCGATTCGTTGCGCTGGTGCAAATTTACAACCGCGTCTGTGTCGTCTGTGTCAGATGCAGACAATGTCCATGATGCCACCACCACCGCCAAGCTGCCAGCCTAACTGAGTAGCTCCAGCATACCTGCGGCCTGTCAAGATGCTGTCCCAGGTACTCTGTAGTCGGTGTCTGTGGACGTCCGTCCGTAGTGCCCTCCCCGTATGCGTTCAATGACGCCGTCTCTCATCTCTGCATCATCTCTCCCGGAATCTCAAAGAGCGGTGACGCTGATGCCTCCGCCTGCCGCTGCTGCCTGCACCTGCCGTCCACTGCACGCACCTGCCACATCACCATCCGCGCGCTGCTGCTGCAATTTGCTACGCACGACTTCCTTCCGGTTGCCGCTTTTGCCTGCGCCCGAGTGCCCCCCTGCACCCATTCGGCCTAGCGCACCTGTCTGCCGCCCACCCTTGCAAGTTGAAACCCTCCTCTCCAGCCCAATCAGCTGCAAGAGCAGTTGACCCCACCAAGACAGGAAAAGTTTGGGATCGACTCATATTTCTCCCACTGCCCAGCTCCCTTCCCCTTCTCTCCTCTTTCCTGTCATCAGTCTCATCACCCCTCAACCAGACAACGAAGTCGCACTACAGCAGCTGTCAACAGATCACCCTCAAATTCGGGACCTTCGTCGTGTCAAGATGCCTTCGGCCGTCGCTGAGCTGTAAACGCCCACTGCGGGCCACCGCCAGTCCCAGTGGTCCGCAGTCCAGCAGTTCTTCGAGTCTTTCAACAATCCCACCGACGATCAAGTTCCCATACCAGGCTTTCACGCTCCTGAGCCGTGGAAGATAGAAAAATAATTCAATAACCGAATTGCCACTGCGGTTCCCCCGAGAGTCTGTATCTGACGCCAAACATTCTGCCTATAGCCCGTTTCGACGGCCACTTCATCCGATTTTCTCGTCTCCTTGACCCTCCTCTCCCCCCCCAGGCCGGTCCCCTCGTGCCGTTGAGCTCGACTGACATTGTGTATCCGACTAAATTTACATCTCTCTTCACATCTCAGCTCTCAACCGGCCGTATCAACGACACCGACCTCTTTTCAAACCCCACAATTACGACGTGATCGACTGGACTTCCAAGCGACCCTACAGTCATATTTTTATAACAATTTTAGCCAAACATCCTTGTACGGAATCCATAACCCACATTTCCAGTCAAAAGCTGTTATACTCAGCCATGTCGCGCAATATTCGACAAAAACACCCCACCAAGACTGCCAGAAAGGCGTCTCAACGACAAGGCTCAGATACCCCATCCTCATTCAGCTTATCCGACGACGATGGCTACTCAGCCGTCGAAGAGATTAGCGACTCTTCCGACGACGATGAGGAAGATGTCGATGCGGTCGAGGAGAGGAACATTCTGATAGAAGCCAAGCCTTCTCACTCTCCTCGACCGCAACCCAGCAGCGACGACGACGATGACCAAGACGACGACGACGACGACGACGTTGATGACGACTACAGCCATTTTGTTGTAGACCCGGATGCCGACGACGAAAGCACCAGCTGGGCTGGTATCGCCTCCGAGGCAGACGAAGGTCAACCATCCGACTTCTTCCTTGACTCTTCATTTTGCTCTGACCCTGCTGTCGAACGCCATGTCCGCTTTGATGTTCCCTCCAGCGACTCAGACTCTACCGAGACGGATGATGATGATGATGACCATGGTGACTTGTTTCCAGACATTTTCATATCCCAAACATCTCTCGACCCCGCTTTTCGCCGCGAGATAGAACATGACCCGGATGAATCGTCGGGATCGGGGTCTTTCTGGGACTACAACTGCCTGCATGACCAGCAAAGGGTGGGTGACTCGGATGCCGAGGACGTCATTCGCGAGCTCTCTGATGATGAGACCCCAACTGCCACGCCCGCAGTGCCCCAGTTCGAAGCATCTCCTCCCAATTTTACTCCTGCTTTGGAGGAGCCGCTGGAGCTTGATGGATACGAAAGTGAGTCCTGGAAATCACAGGACACTTTATTTGCTTCTCCGGTTTCGCTAACCTTGGGCCCCTGCCAGCTGATGGTGATACGACAGAGGAAGACATTCCGGATCCACCGATTCGCAGAAAGACTCGCCGCCCTTCTGTACCCATGAGTGAAGCTTCTGACTCGGATGTGCCCTCACCAGTCAAGTCTCAGCGTGGTCAACCTCGTGTTGGGCGCTTCAACCTTGACCGCTCAGATAAGAAGCCGATTGCGGTTTTGAACCCTCTCACGCGCAAAATGATGATCTTTACGCCTCATCGTCGCCGACAGCTCGACCTCTCACCAGAACAGTTCAACTTGCCCTGGGCCCTAGAGGAGCAGTCGTCTCCTATTCTCAGCAACTCTGCCAACATGATGCTCAGCGCCATGTTTTCATGCAACACGTTTGGTGACTTTGTCAATGCTCAGACCATGGGTCCCACCGAAGCTTTTTTTCCGTTTTCTTCAGAGGCCAACGCTGCTGATGGAAGCTCGTCGGCTAGTCTCCAAGGCGAAGAAGATGAGGCCGAGAAGAAGCTAGATATCAGCGATTTCATCACTTGGGACGGTAGCAACTCATCCGGCGATGAAGGCAACGACGGTACCTGGGAGCCTTCTTCAACACCAGTGAGACCTGCAGCAGCCTCGAGCGAACGCGAGATGCTGTCGCATCTTAATTCAGCTACCGTCGGCGCTTTCCGACGCAACCAAATCAACCAGCAGCTGATTTTGAGCAACAAGGCCACCCAAGACTCGCTCGCCTTTAGCGGCCCTTACAACTACTCGGCAATCAGGGGACTCAAGTCGGATCGTTTTGACACAGCAGGCATTCCCCTGACCCCGATTCGACGCCAAAAGAAGCACGCGAGCGAAGCGATACGCAGCCCGCTAGAGTCTGTTTCGGCGAAGCGAAAGGCTTCCGGTGACGTCGGCAACGGCCACAAGAGACACAGGAGCATCTCTGATGTCAATTACCTCCGCATATGAGGCGGGATATTTGGACCTTGGGGATTCTTTTCATTATGTCTGCACCGAAATACGAGCGAGGACGGCGTAGCGTGGGGCTCGCTATCCCTGGCCTCGCGCACACACGGTATTTTCTTGAAGTGACGGATACTTTACTTTTCCTGTTGGGGCGTTGAGCTGGAATCACCCGTTTGCCCTTTGTAGACAGTTTGTTCAAGTTGCTTTGAGTTGGACGGCGTGGACACTAGATGTTGGAAACAAGTCGGGTCGCAAGTAGTTTTTGTGTGGGAAAAAGTGAGCCCCTGTGCTTGCGGAAGAAGAGACGATGAAAGCAACCTGAGACTTTGCTGTTCCTGATGAAGGGAAGGGAATGATTTGCTGCAGAGGACGCGACTTGGAGAAGGAGGGATTCCACGGAGCTAGCGGTAACAACTACGTGAATAGTGTAGCAGGGTCAAGAAATTTTGTTTCATCTAATGGCTGCGTTTTTTGGTGGAGGGTTAAGGGTTTCACAGGCCTTAAGGGACGTTTGGTGAAGATGGGAGTTTGCATTGCATCACCTTTCTCCGGACCCTTAAATGAATGAGGTTAATGCTGACGATTTGATGGGCAGTTGGCTAGCTACACAATGCGACGGCCATTGTTTCGTTGCCGCGTGTTGCCCACGGCGGCGACAGACGGCATTCCTCGCAGCCACGAGGACGAGGGCCTAGGTCTTGGCGTTGTTGGTGACGACGGCCCGAGAGCTCTCGAGGTAGGGGACGAAGCGGAGGACGGGCTCCGTGACGGCGTCGGCGAGGCTGGGCTTGAGGCAGCGGCAGCGCAGCCCGGGGGGGGGGTGGAGGGTGCAGTAGGGCGTGTCGGAGATGGTCTTGACTCTTGATGCGGTCCTGGCACTCCTCGCGGAGGCGCTCTGCGTGCGTCTCGGCTGCGGGAGGCGCGGTGCGTCGGCGGACTGGCGGGTATTCATCCGTCCATCCATCCTCGCTCACTCGCTCACCCGCTCACTCACAGTAGGCAAACGTGGATGATGGGACCGAGGTGGCTGATGAGGCCCAACGATACATGCCACGCATCCACCGTACAACAGCTCCGGCGATGGATGGCAGAAAGGCACGATGGTTGAGGAAGAAACAGGAGTCGTGGCCGGATTCCTTGACAATACCTGTCCACTTCCGCCAGCCGGTGCTCTGCTCACGATTCCGTCCCGAGCCTCGGTCGACCGCTCCGGCTTTCGCGTCTTTGCCTCGCGCAGCTGTGGAACTTGGTTGCAAACCCGACCAGTGGCAAAGTACCCGATAATAATCACAGACGCGGCATTCATGCCAGAATTGACAAGAAAGGCTGCCTGGGCAGAACAACCATGGACCAGGGCAACAAGCAATGGCCCTGGCAACTCGCAGAGCAGGTCGATGCGCCTCATCTGTGAGTTGACGACACTCGATGCTTCCGCGTCATTTCCAGCCATGACCACAGCCTGGTGAGGCAATATTAGCTGCGCATACGGGGCCCGGTCGGTATTCACCCAGTCCTTTTCCACGGAAAACCAAGTTCGCTACTGAGCACAGCTTCTCGACACATGCGAAAACAGTCACGAGCGCGAGCGCGACAGCAAGTCTCTGGAACACTGCACGCCTATTGCCAAATCTGGAGCATGATGAAGGCAAACATGGTCGTTTTTTGAGGCCGAAGGCGAAAGTGGTCGTGTATAAATGCCCTGGCCCTGACCTGAGGGGTGGGTACTCCACTAAACCTTGATTGGCCAAGGCCCGATACGCGGATTAAAACATCAAAAAGTGAGGGACAAGACGAACTGTCGCTGCTTTTGGCAGCTTCAACATCGTGGGGCCAGCCAGTAGCTGAGGCGAATTCTTGATACGAGTGCACGGTAAATGAGTGCACGGTAAATGAAAAGGTGCGATACAATCTAATGGCGCTACACTAAATGACTGTAGCAGTAGCACTGCGAGTCCTCAGAATGTCTCTCGTGGCCGGTCCGACGATTTGGTGAATTTCCTGCCCACCTGCTGCACATTAGACGGCGCGAACGCGTGCGTGTCGGGGACAGAACTGTGGCGTAGCCTGTGACGACGAGGAGCTCTCGATGACAAGACATGCATCTGGCCTTTGGGGGTGCTCTGTTTCCTCTGCGGTTCCTCGCTTCCAGACGCAGATGCCGCTCTGGCGGCCCTTGACCCAGTACCCCGAATTCGTCAAACGTGTCGGGCTCGTGGCATATACCGGGTTGGTTGGATGAACCATCCGGTCGGGCTCACTGCCGCGTCCTTCCTTTGCATCGGCATGGTCCACCTGCCGGTGCAGCTACGCGCTGTCCTCAGTGATGACGACGAGGGTGAGGAGCGACCCGTCGTCCTGTCGGAGCTGGACGTCGACCGAGCAAGGCTGGTACCTTTGAGCATCAAGACAGTTCCTGTTGTAGTAGTCGACGAACTGCTGACACGTCAACGTGCCCCTGGGACGCTCGCAGATGTTGAGGGCATCTTTGCAGGCAAAGTAGGCATCGGTTTTGCAGGACGCCTGGATCTCGGCCCGGAAGGTGACGGTCTGGATGCGGCATGTCTTTCCCGCAGGGCACGTGGCGTCGTACTCGATGGACTTGGTTTCTGTCGTCATCGAGGTGGATTGGTCGTTGTAGGAAGCCGAGAGCTCGGCCTCGAGCACGTCCTTCGGAGCGGCCACCTTGACCTGTCCGCCAATGGTCCATCCCGTGGTCGTCCCCTGGGCCACTGCCGTGGACGTCTGTGACTTGATTACGGCGTCCTGTGATCCGCTGTTGGCGAGCAAGGCGTCAGTGTGGGTGTTGGTTGAGATGGCGATCTGGTGCGGGACGTCGACTATCGTGAGCCGCGTCCAGAACTCGGTCGTCAGGCAGTCCCACGCAACGCTGGGGCACGTGGCCTCTTTGAGCTTGGGTTCGTCATAGAAGGGCGGGTTCCTCTGATCGACGTTGTGCAGCGACTTCTTGAGTTGATTGATAAAGTCGGCGAGCTGGTCGCCTCGGGCGGGAGTCTTGGCTGCCCAGCACGTGCCGACGAGCACGAGTACAGACACAAGTCTAAACATTGTGCAAGACCAAGTGTGAAGAGGCAGCGTTTGTCACGTCTCTGACTGTGACGGATTCATGCCGTCTGAGCCGTGATGCCGCCGCAAGCTCGCGATGCAGCTTGATTTATGTAGATGTGTGCGGACCGCGCGTCTTCACGGGCGTGGCACATGTTCGCACCTCGGAGAGCTCATATAGTTGGAGCACGGGATTCTGCCCGCGCTACGTATGCACACCTGACCTGCCTTGACAAGCTAAACTTGCATTCGCTTGGTGAGCTTGGCAGATCAAGCGACAGGACAGGGGCAAGGGGGTGTTTAGAGCCCCGTGGCTAGGAGACAACCCCAAGCCTTAGACTGCCCCAGGTACGAGACTTGCAACAACTTGCTCAAGCCAGCCCCGGAGCCTGGCCAGATTCCCACGCTCTTTTCTTAGCCTTCTTCTGCGACGGCGGACCGCAAATCATGGTGCTGGAGGCGCCCAAGAGCGGCTCTTGGTCTGACGCGCGTGCCGGGCTAATGGGCACGTGTACCAGGAGCTGGGATGGACTTGTCGTCCGACGTACGCGGCAGCCGGGGCTTGAGAATCCCGCCGGGTTGGCAAACGGGGGTCAATAGTCCTCGGAGGAAATAAAGACTTCATCTTGGCTCGCCTAGGATATGAATTTGCCACTCCACCCCCGCGTGACCGTGAGTCCGTGACGATCCAGACGCTCGGGCAGACCAGCCCGACGGGTCAAGAGGAAGCGTGGTACAAGTTTCTGAGCCGCTTGCACAGAGTTGGTGACTTGTACGAGACGTGTCGAAGCTGCACCGTGTCATGATGTAATGTCCGTTTCAACACCTACCGTAGCGCGGTCCTCCTTAATTTTGCTCGGCATAATACAGCTAGCGAACTACTAGTTGTAAGCTAGCTCCAAGCAAGCCTATATAAATAAAAGAGTGACGATTCTACTGTAGCAGTAGGAGGTTGAGAGATTTATATACTCGTCACTATTATCCTACGTAGCTATAAACAGGCACACGTGCGACCCTCTGTGTACTCTGCTGACAATGCCCCCATCGACACGTGGGCACCAGACGATGATGGAAACCGTAGTATTTCCATCTCCTCGCCAGCAGCAGTCTAGTGAGAAGAGCGGAGGGTTTTCTACCACATGGCGCTCAAAGTCCCGGGGCCAAAGTTCACGGCTAGCTTGAGCAGTGACTTGACGTATTCAAATGAGGGCAGGTCGCTGATGGAGAGATTGCCCACATTTCTTCTTGTCTTATTGCAAAGCTGTCTGAAGGAATAATTCGCCTTGGAAATTCGCCTTGGAGAGATGCGACGGTTTCTCGTACTAGATCAAGTGCAGCTGCTCCGGATACGAAGTTTATTTCGCCCAGAGAAAAAATACGTACGTACGCCACATAAGCGTGCAATACATACAATTCCAACAGTGATACGAATGCAGCCGAAGCCGCTGTGGCAGTGTGGCCTTGGTAGCAACTTCATTTCACCGTGTCTCGTCTCCATGTCTGCGGAAGCCTTCCCAGTAATATGTATGAGATTGATGTATGCCCTAGTTGATACAGAGAGTAGGTACCGTTATACCGTTTTCCATCGCCCTCTACGCCGTGCAGTTTCCTGCGCCGTCGAGTGCCTCCATAGACTCGAGTCTCGACAAAGTTACCCAGACGGATTGCCATTGAAGGCGAGCAAGTTGACGGTTCCTCCCGGGACGCCGCTGATAGCATCTCTGGTGGCGAGGGCCCGGATTCTCTCGCAAAGAGCCTGCGGACCGGGATATCCCTCCAGGGAAGCCAGGTAGGCGCCGAGGCCAACGATGTGCGGCGTGGCCATGGAGGTACCCGAGATGGTGTTCTGCTCACGAGTTAGCACCGAAGCCCGAAACGAAACGCGTTTCCCCCTCTCGAGAGCTCGTTCAACCCACCGTGCGACCCGCCGGCCAGGTTGACAGGATATTACTCCCCGGGGCGAGAATGTCGACGACATTCCCGTAGTTCGAGAAGGACGAAAGGCCGTCCGAGATGTCCGTCGCCCCGACAGTGCAAACGCTGGGCTCAGAGGCAGGAGACGTGTTTGAGGCGTCAGCCGCGTCGTTTCCCGCAGCAACGGCAAGGAACACACCGGACTGGATCATGTTGGCGGCGGCGTGGTTCACGGCAGCCGAACGGCCTCCCCCCAGACTCATGTTGGCGACGACGCCCTTGGGGCAGCTCCGCCGTCGGGAGTCATGGACCGCGAAGTCCATGCCGGCAAGGATTCCCGAGTAGGCGCCTTGCCCGCTGTCGCTGAGAACCTTGACTCCGTAAATGGACGTCTTCTTGGCCACGCCAAAGCTTCGACTGCCGATGGTGCCCGACACATGGGTGCCGTGACCGTTGCCGTCGGACCGCTCGTCCTCGATAAAGGACTTGATCAGCTGTGCTCGACCTTCGAATTCCTACCGGGCCGAGTTAGTCGAGGCGGTCGAGCTTGCGTGCCGCCTGCCCGCAAGAAGATGTCGCGAATGCTCCGTACCGGGTGCGTGTCATCGACGCCCGTGTCAATAACGTAGGCGCAAGTGCCCTCGCCGGCACCCTCATCGTACGCGTAGCCGTCGCGGCCGCCTCGTCGGTGCGATATGCGAGACAGACCCCAGGGACCCCCGGGCTGCTCAGCAAATGCACTAATCTTGACCATGGCGTCTTTCTCGAGATACTCGACCTATTTCCAGAGTGAGCACGCGTCCGAGCCACGGGGAGTCTGGGAGTCGTCTCGTCTCATCTCACATCGGGGTGATTGCGAAGTTGCTCGACGGCCGTCTCGTTCAACGGGCCCGCGAAGCCGTTGAAAATGTGGGAGAAAACCCTCTCCGCCTCGGCATGGTGAGCCTGCAGAATGCTGTCGGCGGAAGAGATGGCAACGCTATCCATGTACTTCACAATATACCTGTCGGGGATCGCATCACCACGAGGGACAAGGAGCGGCGCCGGCGCAGCCCGCTTGGCCGGAGCGGCAATGGCCAAGGGCAAGAGAGTGAACAAGAAGGGAATCGAAATCATGATTGGAAAAAGAATGGAATTCGAAAGGAGTGTAGACGAAAAGAAGCTGAAGAACATGAACACATGTCGTCTCCGGAGGCGACAGCACATGCGGATTTATACTTTTCACGACACACATAACCACGACGGCCATGCTGCCATGCTGCCATGCTGCCGTCTTGGCTTTCTTTCTTTTCCGCCATGGGCTGGGACGATGCGGGATGATTTGGGCGCGTATGATTGACAACCAGGCTTGAGTCTCTGTCTTTCCATGGCTCCCGACGTGCTTGCTTCTTCGAGGTGCAGAAAGTCTGGTAGCCCCGTGTCCTGACTATCCTGGGTGCAATTTGCACGAGGATCCGAACCACGTTGGTTGAAGCGATGCCACTTCTAGAACGTCATTGCTTCGACCTTGTCACGGCCCTGGTTCATCTCGCTTGATTTTATCCCTGGCAGACGTCCCCCCCCGTTCGTGCTACCGAAATCAGCAGATGCCGTGTGACTACAATCACAATGCATCTGGTAGCTGGTAACTGCGACGCAAGGGGGGCCACGAGGCCAATGTTGTCTGTTGTCTGCTGTATTGAGAGTGTGATGGGTGAGCTTCGTCAAGATGATTGTTGACTTTTGCAGTCCCGCTTTGGACTCTGCTTCACTGCCGTTCGCCTTCTAGAATGGTGCCAACACGCAAAGAAATCATAGCTCGAAGCCTTGGAGCCTGCTCCGTACGTCGTGACTCGTGACAAATATTGAATGCGGAGTCGGCAAGCTATAGGTCCCTATATCAGATCCCAGCTCCCTGGAACGTGAAAACCACTCCGCGTCCAAGGTCAGTTCCGGAGCGGAAGCCTGAAACATGGCGAGGGTGCCATCAGGAACCAAAGGGGAAGGCCGGGCCACGAACGGGAGAGAGCATTGCACTCCGTCTGAAACTCCCCTTCCATGCATGGAGCGCGGGACGTCTGGTTCGTGCCGTACCAACAAAAAACGAACATGACATTGCCTGTGCCCGGCCGACCCTGCTTGCCCACTCGGCAAGGCTCCGAGTCGAACCATGCAAAATCCGCGAGGCCATGATGGAATTCCCTGCCGCGGCTTGCAGCGCAGGTCATCCGCGGGTGATGAGCTAGCTTCTGGAGACCTGCTGAGATCCAAGGGTGTGGCCTGCAACAAGAGAAACGTGGCATTTTGGCATGTGAAGACCAGGCAGCTCTACGGGCCATCAGACGTTTTTCACGTTTCTTTTTCCTTCCGGCCACGCCGTCGGCAGCCACGGAGAGGAGACCCCTCAGAATTGCACTTTTGGTACGGCACATTGCAAAGAGTCCTGGGGTGCAGTCCTCCCCCCTGCATACACGAATCATGGGGCTTGGGAATGACGAGGCTTGGACGTGTTGGTGAGTGACCCAAACAGTGGCTGGATGACTGTAGTCTGATATCCATGGTACGCATGGGCCGGTGCATGCTGGATATTGCCATACTTGTCTAGTAGCATCCAGAGATGTGGTCCGAGATGGTTTGAGCACATCCGCTGCGAAACACGGGGAGACGAACAAAATATCCAGACAACCATGTTCCGCACACCGAAAGTGTCGTCATGCTTGGATGGAAATATGACTGTTACACAATCTTTGTGACACAAACGGCCCGCAGCCTGCCGTGGTACCTGAGTACGGGGTAGATGATTCAGATGACCGCGGCCACGGTTCGCCAGGACAAGACTTTAAAGCCGGCCGGGCTTACCAAATGCGCATGGGGTTTCCCCATGTTGGAGTTTCCCCATGTTGGAGAGGCGCAACTGAGAAAACCAAGCCAACTTTTGAGCTAGACGTCAATGCTATTGTTGGGTTGGCATAGGCTTATAAACTTGTCCAAAGATGCGTGATATCAACCAAGTATCCAGCAAGCCTAGCACTTTGGTCTTAATTTCAAGACCTTACTGTCTCAAGCTGTCGTCTTGGGTCTGCGACTGAAAAGCATGCCATAGGAATCGGCGGCTCTACTTTTCCCAGCACGGAGAGTGACAACTTGTATCTACGGCGTTTACAGAGCGAGGTCAGACTCAACTTTATAGAGTGGAAGTCTGACCTTCTTGCTGTTCAAATCGCCAATTGCTTGGGGAGGGGGGTGGGGGCAAGTATTTTTGCTAGGGGCGCTCAATGCCCAGGTGATTGACCGAGTTCTCGTAGTTGTATCTTTGTCCTTGCAAGAGACATGTTTTTCATGTCTGCCGCGCTCTTCTCTCGTGCAGTTGACAAGACTGACCATTCCAGCGATGCCTTACCAGTGACGTGGCTCATGAGATTCTCACGCAACAAACTGTCTTCAAGATACATGGCCCAAGGGGCGGATATGATGATCTTCTCCGCCGCGGCTGGCTGTCTAACAATGCCAGAACTGTTGTGCGAGAAGAATGAAAAGGCACACGTCTTGGCCGAGACTGCATGTCTCGCCACAATCTCGAACCGACTGACTCTGCGCCACCTCGTCTTACTACATTCCCATCCCTTTGCACGCTCAAAATGTTGTTAAACGGCGGCGTCGCTGTTCTACTGCCCGTGCCGCCTTGCCAAATCAACCCAACTCGTGCTCCTCCAGCTCAATGGCGGCTCAATCCCATCCGCCTTGGGGCTACCGGTGGCGGTCATCCAAACCATTCATCATCTCCACCGTCATCATCGCCTTGTTTTGCGGTACCGCCTCCCGTTCCTTTGACGCCGTATTTGCGCTGACTCGACTCCCGCAGACACCTTCTTGTACGGCTTCCTGGTCCCCATCCTGAGTTATATGCTCGAGGCACGGCTCCGCATCGACCCGTCCGAAACCCAGCACCTCACCACCGCTTTACTCGGTTGCCACGGCTTTCTTACCCTGACCTCGGCGCCCATCATCGCCTACTTTGCAGACAAGACACCGGACCGAAAGATACATCTCCTGACGTCTCTCGCGGCGTGCCTCGCAGGAACGGTCCTTGTTGCTTGGAGCCCGTACCGTATAGTCGTCACGACCCAATCTTGATGCACGCACTGGCTAAGTCGTCCACGCAGTTTGGGCCCTTTTCCTCGGCCGGTTTGTGCAAGCCGTCGCCGGCTCTGCCGCCTGGATATTCTGCTTCACAGTATTGTCCGACACCGTCGGCATGCAGCACATGGGCAAGGTGATGGGCGTGGCCATGTCCTTCGTCACGGCCGGCGTAGTTGGAGGGCCAATGATTGCCGGCTCCATGCTGCAACTCGTCGGCTACTGGCCTGCGTGGTCGGCTCCTCTGGTCTTGTTGGTCCTCGACATGATGGCGCGTCTGGTTATGATCCAAGAACAAGACTCACCTGCCGGCGGCAGCGACTCTCGGGACTTGACGGAGCCTTCAAGCTCGCCTACTACCGCGGCCGGACGCACGACGTCCAGTGACGTGGAACCATCAACGGTCTCGTCGTCGAGGCCTCTCAACTACCAGAGCATCAGTCCCGGTCCGACCGTCAAAGGGACCGAGGGAGCGCCGCCGTCACGTGGCGGTTTCTACCGCATCATGTTCCGGGATGCCCGAGTCCTTGTCGGGGTGGCAAACTCGGTCACGTTTTCCGCCATTGTAGCTGGATTCGACGCTACACTGCCCATCCACCTGCACAAGGTGTTTGGTTGGGGAAGCCTGCCGGTAGGCATGACGTTTCTTGCCTTTCAAATCCCCTCGATCCTTCTTGCGCCGTTGGTCGGGTGCCTCCGTGACCGAGTCGGTCTGCGATACCCAACCGTAGCTGGATGGGCTCTCATGGTACCCCTACTATGGCTCCTGGGTATCCCCGGACAAAGCCACTCTACTTGGGGCAACATTGGCTACGACGGCAGGGCCATGTTTATAGTCTGTATTGCTGCCATCGGCACCGCCTCGACCCTTGTCCGCGGAGCCGGTGCTCTGCAGATGACAGGTCCGTTTCCCTGTACTCCGGAGCGGCGTTTTGCGTGCTGACAGGCCCCCCGATGACAGCTGTGGTTCACGACATGCAGACAAAGAATCCGAGAGTCTTTGGCGACTACGGGGGAAGCTCTCGGGTCTTTTCAATGACAGAAATATCATTCAGCCTCGGCATGATGGTGGGACCCCTGCTCTCGGGCTTGCTCTCCGAAGCAGTCGGATACTATTACATGAACCTGACCTTGGGTGAGTTGACAACATGTCTGGCCCCTGGCCCCTGGCCCCTGGCCCCGTCGCAGCCGGCTGATTCGAGTAGGCGCGATTTGCTCGGTGGTGGCCCTCTCCTCGTTTTACCTTCTTGACCCCAGGAAACCGGCCCACAGTCTTGAGCCTTGAGCGTCCACGGAGAACAGCAGCGGCGTTGACGAGGTCGAACAAAGTCTGAGAGAATACACTGTATGCGTCGATGGGGACTATGCGGAACACCAAAAGCTCGATCCAGCACGGGATTCGCTACGAATAGTTTTTACCCCAAAGTGATAGGCAAATTAATGGACCAAGATGACCCGTGTCCAGGTTGAATGGCGGAGAGATGACGGCTTTTAGCCTCCACGTTGATACACATCGCGGAGTCGATGCTAGCAGCTTTTCTGGTAGGATGAAGACGCTCCGAGAGGGGTGCCAGACGGCAAACAGGTAGGTGCTCTGTTATCCTTGAGTCAATGCCTGTCCGAAATACTAGATGTAGATATTGTCTCTTGTTGGAATCTATTTCTCTCATCAACGGCACCGAAACGGATCAAGGAGCCGTTATCGCGGGCGGCAAGAGCAACGTCGACAAACTAGAAGCCGGTTTCATTGTACCTCTGCTCTCCCCAATGCGATAAAGACCCTCACTAGTGATTACCACCAAGGTGGTCGCGGCCGACGAGCATGGCGTCTATGGACTGCCCCCTGGCGTGGCCTTGCGTTTGAAAGTTGATCCTGAACTTGCCATGCTCTCAGCCTCTCGCACTCCAACCTCGAATCTCGTCTCGGATTAGAAATTCACCCACGGCGTCGTGCGATTCCCACGCACCGTGATCCCATCATCATGTCCAGCAGCGTTACGCAACATGCGCCCCCGACCACAGCATGACCAGCGGCTGTTGAAACCATCATCGGTGGCTACTCGCCATGGACACTGCCTGCGCGGTCAAGCTTTGCACCATCGCGATGCGTCTTACGGGCGGCTGCTTCGACAGCACTGGCTTCCGACCAAGCGCTGGACTGCGCACGCAATGGTCTCCGTTGGACTGTACCTGATCCCCATGAACCCGCACTCGAGTCATTTAGTCCTTGTAGGCGAGCAGTTTGAATCTGAGCCCGTTGTCAGGCTATATCTCCCGAGGCGGACAGCTTTCCTTCCCAGGAGTCGGGAGTCAGGAGTCAAGACCGTACGTACGGCCTGCGCCAGACAAGTACTAATCAGTTTATTGCTACCAGCGTCCCTGTTCCAAAAGCTACCACGGCCCAAGCTTGCGGTTCCAGTGCCTCCACACAAAGACGTCGCCGTCCAAGTACTACCTGCAACGTTCTAATCCAGCTCACTCTTGGTTCTTGAACTTGTGCTCTGCTCTACCTGGTGTAGAGGTTGGCCTCTGTGTATCGCAGCGTCTCGCCCTGTCTAGGCTGCGCAACAGACGAGCCACTCTTCAGCAAACCCCTGAACCTCAGAAGACGTCTCGTAGAGCTGAAGACTGGCGCGCCCCGTCCAACACGCCGGGCAGAGATAGGGACCTACCACGGACTATCGTTTGCGCTTGCCCAGTACCGCCCGTGCCTATTCGCCTCCACCCAGTCCCGGATGTCTTGATATACCGCACGAGTATCCAAGTCGTCTCGGAACGCGTCGTCCTCGGATCCGTATATGACGCCGTCAATGCCGGCACTGCCAAACAAAAAGTCCACCGCACTCCTCTTGGCCCCGGCGTGCAGCGTCCAGGCAAAGACTCGCCCAAACTCGCCCGACTCGACGGCCTGGCGAAGCACCGTGCAGGTATAGTGCTCGTCCTCGTAGCAGTTTCCAAACTTCCACGTCACCGAGGAGCTGCCGTACGACAGGACCCGTCGCGACACGTCTGTGATGCTGCTGTTCCGAAACCGCTCCCGGAGCTGTCGCCCATCCCCGTCCAAGTTTACCGCTTCGTTCCCGTCGACATGGCGCGAGATGAAGCCGTACCCGACACCCTCGGCCGTGTCCCCGGCGAAACCGTACAGCACACGAACGCCGGCCGGCTCCAGGATCTGGCGTGCGTGCTCCTGCAGCGCGGCAACGGAGCAGTTCTGCCACGCGTCATCCTGCGGATCGCACCAGTCCGGGTCTTTAATGTCCAGCCAGACAAAGGCAACGTCGCGTCCCGTCTGGCGATGCCCAGCCACGGCTCGGAAGAGCACCTCGACGGGGTCGCCTACTCTTTCCCAGACCCCGTCGTGGTCGCCGAACCAGCCGTCCTTCCACGCCGTCACGTCGACCTCCAGTGCGTTTGCTCCCTGCCGCAGTGCCTGGCTGATTTGCCGCCTCGTGAGCACACGGTGAGCAATGGCGTAGACCGGTCGGTGGGATCCGGTCACGTTGGTCCCCGGCGCGTCGGGTTGCAGAGAAAACTCTACCACGGCAACGAGATATAGCAGAGTAGCCGCGCACAGAAGCGTGAGTACGACGGCGAGGACGAGCGGATATCGCAACTTGGCCCGCGGCTTCATTGCACACACAACGCAACTCGACCCTTTGACGACGAGAATACTCGGTGCGTCCATCTGCGCCAAGAGGTGAGAAAAGCCAGCCGCAGCCCAACATGGTACATGTCTTCTCCTCGCGTAATGGCGAGTTTTGCCCACCGTACGAGTGTGCGTAGTCGCGGCCAGCTCGACAGGCCATTCCTCCCATCCTTTCCCGACGGGCACGATTTAGACTTCAATACCCGCCCGGCCAGGGTGCCGCGTCGCCAATGATTTTCGCTGCCCATCGTCGATCGGCGTTCACCACGAGTCGAGATTGAACAAATTGTCATCAGGCGAGAACCACGGAAACACTGGCGCCACGAAGCCGCGCCGTGTTGCAGGCTGGCGTTGCGGCTCGCTTGGCCATTTTCAGCCTCTTTACGTGGTTGTCGACCATCCTCAACAAGGTATAAAAGGACTCAAAACAAGAGAAAAAAAAGGAGAAAAAAAAAAGAGAAAAAAAAAATAAAGAAAACTAGTCCGTACGTCACCCCGACTTTAGTTTCTCCCCTTTCTCCGCCTCGGTCAAGAACTTATGTCCGCCCGCCGACAGCGGGAGCTCGAGCGTGGACATGACCGCCGCGTGGTCCGAAGTCCACTCGTTGTCGCGATGATACGGCTCGCGCTTGGGCTTGCCGACTACGATGGTCTGCGAATTGACCGTCTTCATATGCCGATGGTAGATGTAATCGATTCGATCGTGAGGCTCCAGCCTGTCCCCGTGCCTCCAGTGGGTGGGCGACCATGTGTTGCCGGGAAATTTGGCGGGATGGAGATGCGCCTGGCGGTACGAGTCCTTCCACGTGTCCCCGTAGAAGATCTCCTGCGTGTTTCGCATCGAGATGGACCAGGGAAATTTCGACTTGGCCATGAAATAGCCCTGCTTGTGGATACAGTGTAGTCTCCTCCCCCTCTTGCCCCAGTCGCGGTGAGAGGGCTGGTTGAAGCTGCCCGCCAGAATGTGAGGGATCTTCAGCGTCTCCCTGAGCTTGAACCTGTACTTGCGGAGCCTGAGCTGGAACTCCATGATGCCTTGGGTGCGGCGAGACATTTCCTCCCGCATGCGGACATAGGCGGTGCTGGAATTCGTGTAGCACACTTCGTACGGTCCGTAGGGGTACGGGTTGAAGTGAAGATTCGTCACGATGACCTGGCCGCTGTCTCCTTCGACGGCGATCCGGACCATGACGCCCGTCTCCAGGTCGCGGTATGCATGGACAATGGGGTATCGGGAAAGGGTGGCGACGTCCCTGCCCTGGCGGGCGTTCCAGCCCAGCGCTTTGGCAAGCCGAAGGCCGTCTTGGAAGTAGCACTCTTGCAGACAGACGATGTCGGCGTCCAGCTCGGCCAGAAACTTGACCTGCTTGCGGTGGTAGTCATTGACGTTCCTGCCGCCGTCCCAGAGGTTGAAGGTGAGCACCTTGATCTTGTCCGTATTGGACTTGTCTTTTTTGCCTTTTCGGCGACGCACTACGGGAGGAATGGGGACGTAGACGGGCAGCGCCGCCGTGCTGTTGTCAGAACCGTGGGCCATGACGATGAAGCTGCTCGATACATCGGCCAGGGGCATGCCGAATAACGTGCCGTTCTTGGCGACGTATACCCAGTCGGCATTGTGGCGGTGGACGATGGAGAATCTCGTCTTGTGATCCTTGACGCCCATGAGAAGCCCGCTTATGTCGGCTCTGAAGTCCTGGTACGGATACACCTTGTGGGTGGTGAAGTTTGAAGGGATCCATTGCAGAGGTCCGGCACCTGGAACATACACATGGACTGGCCTGGCCAACCAGTTGTAGCTTTCGTAGGCCAAAAAGTACGCCTTGTATCGGCCAGGCTCCAAGTGGGAAACATTCACATGGATAGATCCTTGACTCGCGTTTACCCAGGTCCACGCCAGTTGATCTACGACGAGCTTCTGGTGGTCAGGGCCGCCGTAGTAATCTCTCCAGATGCCGATCCAGTTTCTGGGGTGAGGGTACGCAGTTGAGAAGTTGAAGGTGAGGGCAGGACCATCCACCGGGACGAGATAATTTGGTTTTGTCGGCCCGTAGGTCTCAAGGACCAAGGCGTTGCCGGTCGAAGTTGACGTTGCGTTCGCGGTAGCGTCTGTACTCGCAGTTGTGTTTGTCTTTGCGCTTGCCTTGACGTTCGCCGTTGCTTTGTCTGTATTTGCACTCGAGGTTGCATTTGCGGTTGTGTTTGCCACCGCACTCCTGTCCAAAGTCGCGGCCGCTGCAATGGCGACGAGTGCCGCAGCGACAGTCGAGAAACGAGATACAATATGCATCCCCAATGGTCTCTTTCGATCCAGGCCAATTCTTTCGAGTCCCAACCATGGCCAGAACCACCCCTCGCGGTACGGACACGGGTTCCTTTATACAATCGGACAGACTTGTTGCATGACTTGCCCGATGGTAGCAAAGGTTGGTCTTGGCCCACGTAATGCACGACATGAAGAGGTCAAGCACCGTGTAGCTTGTAGACGGCGCCTTGACGTGACGTAATGCTGAAACATGACCAAATATTCCACGGTGCCGAGTCGCCTAGCCGCTACCACTACCTCGTCAAGACAAGTTGACGTTTCTCAGTCTTGATCCAGCCGAGAGAAAGCCATCGCGTTGCTCCGGGGCTTATTGGTCTTGCAAGCGCTGTCCATTGCATCAAACATGATAGCACCACTCGATATCTAAACCGAAATGGATGAGATGCACGAAACGACACAGCACTTGAACCTCGCAGACGACAGATGCCAAGACATAGCTTCATCTGTGCTTCTGCTATGCCATCTGAGGAATGGGCCCAGAGTCGCCGAGCCTTTTGATGCATTCGCTTCATCAAGACGCTTTTTAGCCGTGACACATCAATGTCACCACACCCTTTTATCTCCGTCCTACTTGACGCAGAACAGCTAGTGGCAAAGTCCAGAAACAGAGAGAAACAAAAAAAATCAAAAAATCAGCGAAGCAGGACTTGGATCTGGCGGCAGTTGAGGTCATGTGTCCGAGATTGACCATGCCACTTCGAAACAGGGTGCTTGCGAGTCAGTCCGTCCTGGCAAGCCCATAACACCGCGGCAAAAGTTCCGAATAATAGGTGCAGTGCATATATCATACCCCATGGGGATGATATCAGAGTTTTTTTATGGATTTTTCCACGGCAAAATGGCCAGCTGGCGTCTCTGCACGTCATGGGTCCTTTTCTGCCGGCACCAGACGCCGGCACAATAAGCTCTGGAGTGAAAATGTCATGATTGCGTCTGCCACGGGCAAATAAAAAGAGGGCGCTCAAAATAACAGTGTCACGCGCCGGGACGTGGGCGTCAATGTGTTGTGGAGCACCTTGATGCCATCGGAGTTGGGGAGTTGAAAACAAATCTGACAAAACGCCTGTCCAGGGTTGGCTCCGAGGTGGTATGATGTCGACTGCTTGTCTTGTCATTTCATCCCTGGCACCGTCCGGCGTCCATACGGAGATACATGTAGATGGCCAAACTGTTTGCAACATTCTGTCCTGCCAGTAGCTGGATGGCGAAGTCAACGCGACCGAGAAGCAAGCCGGGGAGCCCAGCATTGAGGAGTATCCAGCCAAAGACATCCCCTTGGTTGGTGGCAGATCGTGCTGCTATCGTGAACTCTGTTCTTGTGTTTCGACGCTACCAGCAGGTCACCTGGCCGAAAATGAAGGGAATTGCTACACGGGCATGACACTTTGGCTACACGGGCATGACTCTTACACGGGCATGACTTTTACCACTTCTGATTGGTCGCATACTTTCTTGGCCCCACAGATACTTCCTCGGAAAGGCGGTGTAGCCAACTTCACTAACAAGCTCCTACATCACCATGAATTGCAGTCACTTATCGTTGTGGGCGCGATTGGTCTTCTGCTATCTTGCAAGCCTGCATTTCGGATTAAACTACCGTCCTTGTACTGTTAGCCAGTAACTGTCAAATACTGGCAAAAGACGTGATGTGGTCTACTTAATTTATTGCCTCACAACGATACAATCTGGATCTTCGTCATCACTCTTAGCCAGTTCCCATTGACTCCTTGTCCTGCGAATGTTTCGTTGCGTCCTCCGTCCACTGTACCGCACGCCTGTCGTATTCCCAGCATTTAGGACTTTAGAAGGTCTACCTGGCCCTTGCTGGGCTGAGATGCCAATTTGGCCACCAGTTTGTGTGATGGTTTCTCGAGTAGCTTTATGCACTCTCCTAGCAAGAGTTGGCTTATTGAGACTTCCTGGCGGTCGACCTCGTCGCCCACTTGGTTGATTATCAGATCGGCTACTTGATGTAATAGCTAGGCTTTCTGGGATAACCTGCGCTGTATTCTTTGGCCTTCCACGTAGTGCAGTGGCAACTTTCGGGTCAAGAATTCGTCGGTATGGATCTTGAGATGCCGATTCCCGTAGTCGCCAGCGTGGGTGGACCTCCCATTTAGTGAAACGTGTGTCAGAATCTAGCTTTGCGTAGACTTTATGATAGCATGGGATTCCCAGCTCAATAGAGACCGTACAGTCGTCGTCGCAAAGTCCAATAGAGTCGGGGAAGGGATTCTTCCCCGTCGGCAGAAATTTGCGAGCAATACAGTATTGCTTGTTGATTAACCCAAGTCCTTTCGATGACATGGTTGTTCGTAGTTCACCAAGATAGTTTCCCATCGAACCTAGGTATTGTGGAGCAGTCAGGACATCATCCTGTCCACAGGCATCCTTAAAGGCACGTTCTTGGTCATGTATCATATCCTGCATTGCCTCGACGAGTCGGTAGAGGTGGCTCATGCCATTTAATAGATAGCTTTTGATATTATTGTTGCTTGCTTCTGTGCCGGACGTAACTCGGATTCCGAAGTTACGATAACGACGGATAAAGCAACGTGCCCATTGAGCACTAACAGGCATATAAGTCGAGTAGAGGTATTGTAAGATCGCTCGTTGGTCGTCGAACTCTTTACAAAGATCTCTCCATGCCTGCTCAAACGCTTCCTCAGTCTCGGCATAGAGAACCTTTTTCCACATTAAAACAACGCCTTGGTAAGTATGAGGAATCTTATCACTACTCGACCGATCTTCGATCAGATGCTTATCTGTAGTGCTCAACCCGCCATCCGCCTGTGAGGGAATGTCTTCACTGTCACTAGCGCTAGGGCTAGTAGTACTGTCCTCACGTTGGCCCGTCCACCTAGTCTTCGATTTAAGCAAAACGTTTGAAAGGATATGATGAATACAAAGCTGTTGCTGTGCATTTGGAAACTGATCATTAACGGCAGCTTTCATAGCCTTGTCGAAGTCTGTGATGATGACATCTGGTTCCCTGAGTGAGTGTTTTGTAATGAGCTTGCGAACACTCTCTGCAAGGAATTGGAACCCCTCCCTCCTCTCGTTATCTATTAAGCCAAATGCAGCATTGAACACAGTTCCAAGACAGGTTTGGCCAGTAGCCTGGAATAAAGGAAGCTTGAAGCGATTAGTGTTATATGTGTTATCAAAGCTAATAACCTCGGGGAAGCGCTTCCACATCTGTAGACAGTACGGAAAGGTCCAGACAAGACCAAGCAGTCTATCTGGATCATCATCGGCCCATTTCGCGATGTATGGGATCTTCTTCTCATCAAAGAGTTTGATCAATGCCGCAGTAGGTGTATAGCCATTTAGCTTCTCTCGGTTAATGAACGAACGGGCATTATAGATATCCTTCCGCAGGAGTGTTGTATCGGGGAATTGCTCCTCAACCATAGCAGCTACATCACTGGCTCGAATACCCGCGCGACGGCTTGCTGACTCGATGGTTGCTTTAACTGGTGTAGTAAGGCGGCGGTGGGAAACATGCGCAGATGGCGTAATACTCCGTTCATGGTTATGCTGGTGATGTTTCGGGTCTCTATGTTGTCGAAGAAGCCACTTGCCTTCCTCTAGGGCTTCAGCAATTATCATCCATTTGCAATCACACTTCCGAGACCTTCGGGTTCGAAGACCAGAACCCCCCGAGGCCCGAGATTGTCCAAACCGGTCGCATTGAATGGAGTACCTAATCAACCGTCCCTTATAGGAATATTTATTCCGCCGAATAATACCAAATCCGTTCTCCTTTGCAAATGCGTTGGTTGTTTTAAAAAGAACTTCGGCCGAGGGCGCTGGGTCGCCAGGGATTATTGGGTTCGGAATTGGCTCCGGGGCGGGAGATAGAGACTGTCGCATAGGCGAGGAACTAATATTTTCGGGCGTCGGTGATATTCGAGGAGGTTGTGTGGGTGACCTACGAGGTGGAGAGTACGGTGGAGGAGAGTCATATGCTTCGAAACTTAATGGTGACCATCCCCATCTCTCTCGCCAAGCTTGTACACGTTCGTATGATCGAGCAAGGTCTACAGTTAGCCTTCGACCTTCGCCGGTAACCTCTCGTACTATGCGCATTGCGGACTCGAACTCGGCTCTTGTCCTTGTTGGGAGATGCTGGGCGGATGGGGGTGATTCGGGAGGTTCAGAGGCGAATGGATCAAATTCTGGGCCTGGTATAAGCGCTCTGACTCGCTGGCTCCATCTTTTTCCACGGAAGAAGTCATTTTGAAGATATATCTCATAGTCAGATCGAAGGCCCCATGCAGGCTCATGGCGGCCCTGTGAACCATGGGGGTGTGGGAGACTTGAAAGTGTTTGCGGGAAAGAGGCGAACAGGTTATCGAGTGCATTTTCGTCCCCGAGGCCGTAGAACTGACCGATACTCGTAGCAGAGCTACTCGCGGATTGTGGTCGGTCTTCAACTGTGGAAGGACTAGATCTGCGTCGCCGACTGGATTTGTGTCGCTTTCCTCTTTGTGATTGATCACTGGGACTAGGGCTCCGCGACCTGCGAGGAGGTGTGCGAGGCAAAGACATTGACGTCTTGAGAAGAGAACAAGATTGTAGTGAAAGAATTGGTCGCTATCTCTACAGCATAGGGTGCCGTATTATGGTTTATTAAAAGCTACGAAAATGAAGAAAGCAAGCTCGAGGGGGTCGCCCCGACTGCGCGACCACTGGGTTGCTGCGTAGTAGCTTAGCCGAAATGAAGTAATTTACACAGAAGCAAGGTTAAAATGGCCCAGGTACTTGCGGCTGAGGTGGCAGAATCCAGCGTCGTTAACAGAGACAATGCGACCAATCAGAAGTGGTAAAAGTCATGCCCGTGTAAGAGTCATGCCCGTGTAGCCAAAGTGTCATGCCCGTGTAGCAATTCCCGCCGGAAAATATATTCCAATACATCCCTTGCCCTTGATAACCCTGCGCCAATCACCTTCGCCATCATATCTGGATATTGGCACTGTTCTCCTGCGATCCATCGAAATTTCCCACCATCTCCATATATGTCCTCCCAACGGTTGCAAATTCGATATGGCAATCCACATTCCCAACATCCACAATACCTTTCGAATGATCCCTTTCGGCCCATCCATTCTTGTATTTGCTTCACACCTCTCTCAATTCCCTCGAAAACCCCCTTGCTTCACACCTCTCTCAATTCCCTCGAAAACCCCCTTGTCGTTTGCTTCTAACGGGCATGACCCTTCATGGTCGTCCTCGCCGCTGGTCATTCGGCAATATATACAACCCTCGCTCCAACTGGCCAACTGCCTCTCGAATATCTCCGTCAATAATGTGTTATCTCGGATCCTCTCGCTCTCCTTCCAAATCGCAAACTCCTGGTCTCGTTCCTGCATGTATATCTCCATGCTGGTTTCTTGAACCTCTGCAACCTGCTCTTCTGGTGCCTTTTCCTCGTCGTCGCCAAACGTCCAACCCTCCCCATCCGGTGATGGTGCCCTTGGTAATGCACCACCAACTTGAATTGCTCTGTTTTCCTCTATTCGGCGCCTTTTATGCTCTCGGTCATGGTCTGTTGCATTCCTTTCCTCGTCTGTGGCCTCATTGGTTATGCTTTCCGGACCGATAATATGCCGGATTGCCATAACGCTGCTTTCTTGTACGTGCCCGCCTCGAATACATACGTCGCACATCTCTTCGTCGTCCTGGCATCCACCCTCTCGTATGCGTCCATCCATTGCCTTGTCCAACACAAATCGTCGGCACCGTGTCCCTCGTATATATTCCACCATCTCTTCATCTCGAACGCTCTGGGCTTCTTGTGTAAACCCTTGCTGCCCCTTCATTGCCTTGCAAATTATAATCGATGTTCCCTGCCTGCCATCCCGACCCAACCGTCCACTTTCCTGTGCGAATGCCCGGACCTGGTACGGTAAACCTACATGGATCACGAACCGTACATCTGACACGTTGATCCCTAAACCCAATGCATTGGTCGCCACGATCAACCGCTTGGTCGTCATCCACGACTGCATCCGCCGCCGCTTTTCCTCTCGACTTCCTGCCTTGCTATAATATGCATCCACGCCCAATACTTTGGCCAACTCTTTGGTCCGTGGAACGGTGCTGGCATATATAATTACACGCCCTTCTTTATTCTCTTTAATCCAATCTCGTGCCATCTCCATCGCCTTCTCGTCTTCTGCCTCTTGTTGTGCGCTGTATTTATCGCTGGCATTCTTCTCGCCCTCCACAAACACTACCCTGTATCGGATGTTGCGCCGTGTTGTTTGGCCCCGGAACATTACCACACTCTTTGCATTAATATGCGCCCGTGTGTAAAACTCCTTTTCCTCTGTCGGTCGCAATGTGGCCGTCAAAAATACCCGCTGCACACCCCATAATGCGATTTCTCGCCCAACATCACGTAACGCTGGCCGGAATGTGTCGGATCCATCCAATATTGTATGGCATTCGTCGACCACAACCCGGTCAATGGCGAACTGATTCTGCAATCGCTGAATGAAATGCTGGAATGCGGCCGTAAACACGGCTTCGGTAATAACCAATATAATTCGGCTTCCTTGGTGCACGCCTGTCTTGCTGTTCCATATGCTGGCCTCAATGCCGTGCTTTATGCACTCGCCATGAATGTCTTCCTGCAACGCAACCAACGGCACAATTACGATCGTCCGGCCCTGCTGCGAACAATACGCCGGCAACATGAATGACATGCTTTTCCCGCCCCCCGTGGGCGTGATCTGCACTACCGGACTCTCCCCTCGTACAATGGCGCCAACAACTTTCCTCTGTCCCGGCCGGAATGTCGCTGCTTTGCCTTTGATGCATTCTAACATGGCTGATATATCAACCTGTCGCAATGCCTCCAATCTTCTTAACCGCACACTCTGTCGGCTGCTCTCAAACTTGTTTCGCTGCCTTCGCTGCTGTGTGGCGGCTGTGACCTCGCCCTGCACACCGTCTCGGCTGGTGCCTTCCTGCCCGAAATCGAAAAATTGATGCCATTCCCGGCTCACCTCACGGAATTTTTCTCGCATGATTGCCGTGCCGCCTAATCCTTGCTGCATCTCGCGCGCGTATATCATGCCTGCCACATGGGATGTGTGTGTGGCCTGCAAATCCCGCGCATCACTCACATCGTCAATACCATCTTCGTCCTCCCCATTCTCGCCACTATACGACGGGTCGTGTTTGGTGCCCAAATATCGGTTGGATATGGCAATGGCGATCTGTCGCCAACTGCTCGTGCTTAACTTGCAACCCAACAACCGCTCGCTGTGTTGCTGGATAATACGCCGAACACGGTCGGATGACCATTTTGCCTCGCGGAACGGCTGCATTGTTGGCTCCGTCGGTCGCTCTGGGTCTTGGATATCTTGCTGGCTGCTGAAACGCATGTCTTGATCCACTGCCTGGTCAATTGCATTGCGTGATGTGATCTCGTCGGCCCATATATATGCGCTGCGGAACGTTGACCTCTTGATAATGCCCTGCACGTTCTGCCAAAACGGCAAAACCAACCATACATACCACACCAATAACTCGCCCACCTCGGGCGGCATGAATCGATGGATGATCTTGACCTGGTCTGACTGCTGGAAATTCTTGTGATATGCCGTGACGAAACACATCTGCCCATGGCTGACAAATATATTTCGTGCCCCTGCGTTGGCTGTGTTCTCCATCCGTACCGTCAATATCTCCGTGGCGCGCGCCGGCTGGCCGGATACCATGTGCATTAATATCAATAACTTCTCGCGGAATCGATCCAATAACCGCCCATATTCTCTGGCTGTTTTTTCTCTGTATGGATGCCTCGCTGGTTGGCTGGTTTGTTGGTTGTCGGCGTCTGGCCTGTGCAACCATGCCTTCCGCCGCTGTTTGCACTGAACCAACTGCCTTTTGATATACCCCTCCCCTTTCTCAACCCATGGCGTGTTTCGGTCGTCTTTAATAAATGTATATCCAACGGCATCGTTACTGTTGTCATCATATACATCATCCCACACAATGACTGGCAACGCATGTATACCCTCGCTGCCACACATTGTTAACTCGGCCATGATATTGCGTGCCTCTTGCAATACGGCGTGCATAAACCCGCTCAACTCGGCCATCGTAAATCGAATCCGTCGGAATATAACCTGGTCGCCGATCCAATCAATTACACCTCCGGCCGTGGTTGTGAACCGGATCTTCATTCCATACGTGCGTGTCTCTAACATCCAATCCATCGGCGATGGGGACTCGTCGGCTTCTTTTCCGGTCCGTGTCATAAATGTATGGATGTATTGTCGTGTGCGCGCGAACATGGATGTGCCGAATTGCCGGGCGTCGGCCTCGTTTATACCCTTTTCTTCCATGATCGTACGAATCTCGGCCTGCCGCTCGGTATATACATGATATAACACAACAATTCGTGCCACCTTGATGACGGCCGACAACACGGGCGTGTAATCCAACGCGTTCTGCCATCCGCCATCGTCCCGGACACCCATCACGGCCAATGTGCTGATCAATACGCTGTCGTATTGGTGGTCGCCCAATGAATGATCCAACATGGCTATGATAAACCGCAAACACATGCCACGGCACGAACCCTGGCTTTCCTTGATCTGTTTGTTGATATCCTCGCTGGTGCTGCTGCCGACGCTATCGCTGGCACTGCTCACACCCCACTCTTCGCGATCCTCTTTGGCTGCCAACGTCGCTTGGTATTCCCGTGTTGCCTGGTATTGGCGGCATGCCTTGGTAAACCCTTTCCAATATCGGGTTTGGGTGCTTGTCATGGCGTATGGCGGCCTTTCCTCTTGTGGCCGTTGTTTGGTCCGGTAAATAACCCAAATGATCTTGCACATCACGCTCTTGTACCGCGCCCACGAATCCGCCTCCATCCGTGGTTCGAACGGCCGCTTGGCCTGTACGGACACCTCGCGTCGGTTGATCTCGAACATGGCCGGCAACCCGATTCGGTATGACCGACATGTTTTGTATGCCTCGTCCAACAAATTATGGCATTGCTCGCTCATGTATTGCAATAACATCTCATCCTCGGCCGGGGCTTTGATGAATTGTTGCAATTCTTCCACTTCTAACCCTTCCAAATGCCTGGTCCAACCAACCCGCTGCAACCATGAATTGGCCTCGTTCTTTGGGTCTAATGCTTCCACGCGCCGCATCGCCTGACCGTCTGTGTATCGCTGCTCTTGTATGTTGTCCCATTCGTCTAATGCGGCTAATAATACGGCGGCTTGACTGTTGTCCTCGTTGTCATCTTCTTTGTTGGCTGTTGGTCTGTTCTCGACAATACTAAATCCAATGTCGGCTGCGCTCTTCACTTCAAACCAACTGCTGGCTGCGCGGCTGGGAAATAACTTCTGGCACCAAACTCCGCTAATCCATGGCAACTGGCGTGGTTCCTGTAATTTTGCCTTGATGTTGCCGCCTCTTTTCCAATCATTGACCCAACCATGCTCTGTCTTGCAATGCCATTGCATGTGGCCAATTTGACGGATAACATGACCACAAACCCTACATTGTAAACCGTCGGGCTTTGGCTCGTTGATGTATGGAATTGGGGCTCTACCGACTGGCAATGGATATTTCTCTAACTCTTTCTGATTTTTGATTAAACCCGGAATATTCTCGATTTCCTGGATAATACTCTTCCGTTTCGTCGCATCAATTGTCGGG